GAGGATAGAGGTCATTTTTTGGCCAACATATAGTTAAAAGACTCTTAGGTCAGCGTTTAGCTTTGTGATATGCTTATGTCATTATTAAAACATCCATATGTTTACATACTAAAACTGTATCTGAATTGATAATACTACTGTCGATAAGTTCATATTTTAAAATCTACACCCTTTAACTTAAGGAAAAAATCCTACAAGAAATTTCCTTTTCTCCCCCTATCTACAAGAAAAATCATTCAAAAAGCAGGGATCATTCTTGATGTGTAGTCCAAAGTCATATTTTAAGGATCCGTTTAGATCAGCGATTGAAAAAATAGCTTATGGATAAGTGAAGTTGGATAAAAGCTAAATTGAATAAGTTGAATTGTGTTTGGATTGGAGTTCAAAAAAACAAGTTTACAAAAGTGAGACTGGTAAAAGGTTTGGATTATGATTGAGTAAAACAAATTTGGTTGTAAAATGACCAAAATGAGTATGAGTTTTAATAAATAATAAAACATGATTAAAAATAATAATTTCACATAATACAATGAAATTAAAATAATTTAATATGAAGAAGTCAAATTTAATGAGTGAATTAAATTTTAAAACCTTAAAGAAATCATAAAAAATATTTTAAATATAAAGTGAAACATAGAAAAAAAATGAATTGAGATAATACAATAAATTTAAATTAATTTAATATCAAAAAGTGAAATTGATTGAGTGAATTAAATTTTAAAATTTTAGAAAAATCTTAAAAAATATTCCTCCGGTCCTAAATATAAAAAGGGTTTTATATTTAGGACTGGAAGAGTAATCTAAATATAAAGTGAAATTTGAAAAAAAAAAAAAGAAGTAAAAATAAACTATAGAGGACGTGGGAGAGGTCTGAGAGCCTGAGGTGAAGAAAAAATTGAGGAAGTGAAGTGCATTAATATGGCCGAAGTCATAGAAAAATTAGGATCCGGATCCTCTCAGCGGCCATTTTCTCAGCATCCCTCAGGATCTTTAAATCCTGTCCGTTAAGATAATCATATGGCTCATGGTTTGCCACATCATTAGACTATTATAATATGCATCTGAACCATTTATTTCCAATAAATCTCAGGCGTCCATTTTCAGGATCTTCACAGCATGTTCAAAACGCATCAAATGCGAAGAGAGCGTCGACCTCTGGCAAACTGTAGCTACGAGTCGAACAGAGCCTCAAATGCAAACACATTCAGATAAAAACTGTTTCTTTTATCCATAAAACATGATAACCTTTGATTTCTTTTCAATAGCCAATGTCAAAAAAAACTCTCTATTATAGGAATGGATTTTATCTCCATTATAGGAATGGATTTTAGTTTGAACAGAAAAGAAAACAGAACCGGATGAAACTAGAAGTCCAATCAATGAGCACTAGAGAAATAAATTACTAAAGTAGAACGAAGAGATTGATCATAACAAAAGACGAAGATGAATTTAGGATAAACTTTGCACTAGATCAAGCAGAAAACCAATGACAAACTCCTGTCCAAATGTTGGAAAAATTCTCTCTCTAAAGACACCGAATCTCGTTCATATACTTAGAAAGCATTCAGCCAATTTTTTCAATATGGATAATTTTTTATTTTTCCATTTTCTTAAAAGAAAAAACCCAAAGCCCACTCATAATAACAAAAATGGTTTTGTAGATGATAATTTCGTTTGAGCTTCCCTTTGCTTTGATCCCCCTATTCAAGTTTAGCAGCAGCAACACCGAGATGGGACCTCACAAGAATTCTATGGAGATTGCCTGACTATAAGCACTCAAGAGTCAAAGAATGTGGAAGAGAGGGATAGAGAAGAAGGGCGGAGATAGAGAGGAAGAGGTGTAAGGTAGATTAGGTAATGACGGAGCTTCCCATCTGCGTCGGAAATCCCTGTTTAGGTCACCGAAGGAGTTTGACTTCAACGAGTCGGCCGTGGAATGGATTTGGCAAACAGGACGTGATGGCCGAGCCGCGATTACAGAAGCTTCGTGATGTGGCTTTTTGTGAGCTCTTAGATGAATTGGATGGATAGGATTTAAAGATTCTGAGGGACGCTGAGAAAATGGCCGCTGAGAGGATCCGGATCCGAAAAATTAAAGCTCTGACACAGGTGCAACAGTAAAAAAACAGAATAAGCTCGAAAATAAGTTAAAAATGTAGCTTCTTCCCCAGCATTGGTCTAACAGCTTAAAACAGATAAACTCATTTTGGATCTAAGTCCAACCAAACGGATGACCATCTTACAATCGGGCTTGCAAAAAAAATGAGCTACTTTTCACCTCACATAAGCCCAACCAAACAGGCTAAGTTGTCATGGCAAACGGAACCAACAAAAACACCAAACCAAAAAAAAAAGGGAAAGAAAACATGAACAGATATAGAACTCCACACAACTTAATAGTTTGGGCATGGGCCGCGTGTGAGAGCACATTAGCCCAGGAGAAAGTTCGGCACTTAGGCTGGGCCCAAATGTGCCAAAAATGAAGTGTTGATAGCGACATTAAATTAAATTAAATTAAATTCTATTGAAAAAAACAGAGAATTGAATTAAACTAATAGGTTTTAATATCACATATTGAAAACTCATCCAAACCTCACTTATACACTACCTCTCATCTTTAATATGACATTGTGTTTCACTTTTATTTTGGTCTTAAATATAAGATCACAATCCATTTTGCCTTTCATATTTATATATTTTTTTCCAAGGTAGTCATCCTAATAATTGTAGTTCTAGCCAATATAGTTGATTAGTAAAGATATTTTAGGAAATACAACACTTATTTATTACAAATAACTAACTTAACTTTTTTCCTTACTCTCTTCAAATTAGTCAACTGGGTTTTACAATTAGGACCGTCAACTAGGTTTTATAATTAAAACCTGAGGTAATATTATACTACTCCCGATCTTAATTATAAAACCTCGTTTATAGATTGTAAAACTGTAAATAAAATCTTATAATCAGAATAAATAGTCGGAAACAAAAAAAGAGCTTTTTGATGGGAAAAAGCCGTCGGTGTCAGAGAGAGGGGTGGTGCCGTGGTGGGTCACCTACTTCCACGAAATTAATGCACAAAGTCGCTCTAATGAATGGGATCTCTCTCCGTTAATTAGTTGGCGGATGTGGGCATCATGTTATTTCAACCAACAACAAAAAAAAAAGGAAGAAGAAAGAAAGTAATGCGCGCCACTTAAAGAGCACGTGCCTTACGTGGCCCATCATTAGGAGCTGCATCTAACTACAGATTATTTATGCCGCGCGAAGCCCTGCAGTGATTTTGCAACGGTACCTCTCTATTAATCAGCGGCAGTTTGAGATATGTTAGAGTGTTGTCATGCTACTGTATATGATTAATAAAAATATTATACGAAAAATAATATTTATTTATTATAAATAACTAATTAAATTAATTTTTTTAATACTATAGAGTAGTTATTTAATTTCTTTTATTAAAGACTAAAAATAATATAATATTTTATTATTTTATATTTACCTCAACATTCTCTCAACGACTCCTTCATATTTGGTTAGCCAGAATTATATTTTCGTAATAAGTGAATTGATTGAGTTCGAGATTCTCGTTCATGAACACTGATGTTCACTGCGTCACTTGATGGCTCGCAGATGCCACAAAAGTAATCAGCGTGAACAATAGTGGCCGCGGATCTACTTTTCAAGCCAATGGGATAATATTAATAACTTATCCTTCATACATAATACTTAAAAGATCTGTATTTAATTTTTTTATGTAATTATCTGATTTGCAGCATGTACGTAAGTTTTTATAACATATGCTTTGATGCGTGTCTTTCAATTGTGAGTGCATCCAAATCCAAAGCATCCAGTGTTCTAAGCATTTTTGCATGCATTAATTTTCTTTTATATCTCTTGACACTGAATGCAAGAATAGGTGTGACGCTTATTTAAAAAAAAAGACTAGACATCATTTGAGGTAGTTTTGGTATGTGTAGAAAAAGCCTTTAAAAGTGTTAATAAGAAAAATAGATCAAGCAGTTTGAAATTCTTTAAAACATGACTAAAAAAAAACAAGAAAGAACATTCGATGAGGTCATTGAATGAGAACTTTGAATTAATAACCTATCTAAAAATTTGATTGTTGATGGAATACAACAATTTTGACCCCCACGGTGTAATGAGACTTGTCATATCTATTGACACCAATATCTCTTTTTTTCCTTTTTCTTAATTTGTTCATGCTGCTTGAGAAAAAGAAAGAAAGGAGAATTCCTTAAAAAATACTTTAAAATTTTAAATTTTAAACTTTTAAATCAGTCTTGTTTATCATATTTTAATAACAATCGATAACATTTGAAAAGCAAATGAAAATGTATTTTTGTGATCATTTCTGACTTGAGATTTTCAAATTTTAGAGGCATTTCTAGAATTTTTTCAAAAAAGAGAAGATATTTGCTCGTATGATCTTCCAAAAGTTCATATTTCATATAACAATACCTTGTAAAGTTGTGGTATTAAAAAAAATGAGAGGAGACAAATACTCTAATTGAACCAACAATACTTGGAATCTGATTCAACTAATAGCTATATAAGCAAGGAAAAAAGAGGAAATGAGATATTCATCGGCAATCCATAATTAAATTAAATTCCAAGTATATATACAGTCCCAAGAATTGAATATGCATGATTCTGTGTCCAAATATAGAAAATGGTCAAACCATCTTTTTTCCCCCCCTCCTGGAGACCCGTCTAATTTTTTTTTTGGTTAAAAAAATCTCCTAATTCATGTTCCATCACACAGGAAAGAATATTGAATGCACCCGTATTTATATTTCATTGAAAATTGCTTTCTGTTTTCCTTTTTTTCCGATTTACACACCAACTGTTGAAGCTGTTATGGTTGTTCTATTTCATTTCACCGCATGAAAGCTGAAACCGCTCTTTCCGTCTCCGTTCGCTCACTACAATCCAGCGCTCTCACCCTTCTGATCCAGACCCTTTCTTCTTCTTCTTCTTCTTCTTCCTTCTCCCCCTTCGTCGTCCCTTTCCCTGATCAGTTTTTGCCTTCAGTTCTCTCACAATGGGTAAAGGAGGCTCTTTGAGCGAGGGCGTTCTTAAGAAGATCATCATCTCCTACACCTACGTCGCCGTATGGATCTTCCTCAGCTTCACTGTCATCGTCTACAACAAGTATATCCTCGACAGGAAGATGTACAATTGGCCTTACCCTGTTTCCCTCACCATGATCCACATGGCCTTCTGTGCCTCCCTCGCCTTCCTCCTTGTTCGCGTCTTCAAGGTCGTCGAACCAATCTCCATGTCCCGCGACGTTTACCTCTCCTCCGTCGTCCCCATCGGAGCACTCTACTCGCTTTCTCTCTGGCTCTCTAATTCCGCTTACATCTACCTCTCTGTCTCCTTCATCCAAATGCTCAAGGCCCTCATGCCTGTCGCTGTTTATTCCATTGGTGTTCTCTTCAAGAAAGAATCCTTCAAGAACGAAACCATGGCCAACATGGTCTCGATCTCTCTCGGTGTCGGCATTGCTGCTTATGGAGAAGCCAGATTTGATACTTGGGGTGTGATCCTTCAATTGGGTGCCGTCGTTTTTGAAGCCACCAGGTTGGTAATGATCCAAATCTTGCTTACCTCTAAAGGCATCTCGCTGAATCCCATTACTTCTCTCTACTATGTCGCGCCTTGTTGCTTGGTCTTCTTGTCTGTGCCTTGGATCATCGTGGAGTACCCTGTCTTGAGGGCGGCTTCTACCTTCAATTTTGATTTTGTGATTTTTGGGACCAATTCTTTGTGTGCATTTGCTTTGAATCTCGCCGTTTTCCTGCTCGTCGGTAAAACCTCTGCTTTAACGATGAATGTGGCCGGCGTGGTGAAAGACTGGCTTCTGATTGCTTTCTCATGGTCGGTTATTAAGGACACTGTCACGTCCCTCAATTTGTTTGGGTATGGGCTTGCCTTTTTGGGTGTTGCCTATTACAACCATTCAAAACTGAAGGCCCTTAAGGCGAAGGAGACGCAGAAGAAGACTACACAAACTGATGAGGAGGCAGGGAGGTTGCTGGAGGAGAGAGAAGGGGATGGCATGGGGAAGAGGAACGAACAGCAGAATTAATTTTATGGCTAATTTAGACAGATTGAGAACGTAAAAGAGTACAGAAATAAAATGAGGAGGAAGAGCAGTCTCTAGTTTTTGAATTGGAAGTAAAAAGGAACTTAGCGTACTCTGTTTTCTTTTTAGCATACTCTGCTTAAAATGCTAATTCGGTATGGCATTCCAGGTCTTCATGTTAATCTGTTGCTTGGATGTGTCCTAGACTAAGAGCTTCGAATCCTTTTTGGTTTTTGTTTCTTGGTATTTCACCCTGTAGTTTTATGTTATGTTCTTGTAGAAATTCGATTTCTGGAGTTTTTTTTTTCTATCGTTTTGGCCAATCTTGTTTAATGCTGTTTATAGTTCATTTCTGTTTACTCGAAAATTTTGAACTGGGCATAATCATCCCCTGCATGCCGCTAAATCTGAGCAACAATTTGACTCAATACGACATGTATCCGTATCTCAAAGTCAAAAATGTAAACAAATTATGATGAGAAATTAATCGCTACGTTCCAAGTTAATAATGGATAAGGACATGACATGGCCATTCCTATTTGACTGCGAAAGAAGTAAGATTGTGACAATCTGAAATTGGCTGCTTTATTGTCTTTAGTGATGGAATATATTGTCTGCCTCAGGTCATAGGGATAAGGTAGTATGCACCATATCCTAAAGATTTTATTTGAAAGGGAGCCCCGTTTGTATTGGAACTGGAATCTCATGGAGACGCAGTTCTCTCGCCTCTTCAGCATCTTCATGTACTCGCCATGATGTTTTAGGCTTTAGCTTACCCTGGTCCCCGCTGCTGCCAATTCAAATCGACTTTCCTATCACTAACGCTAAGCGTTCAGCACTCCATTTATGTCTCAAGATATAGTAAAAGAATGGGGTTGGTAGCCACCAAATTCCTCAGCATAAAAAATGAATGTGCACCGCATCAATTAAGGGACCATTTCACTACCCTTCCAGGTTCCAACGAACCCAGAATCTTAATCCTTTCATTAATAAATTCATTTTAACGGTTTGAGTCACATGCTTACATCATTGATAGGGCATTTGGGCTGTCATTAATCCATTTGTGAAACACTGGCCTGGGTTTGGTTTATCAGAAGGAAGACAATCGCCCACAACTAATTGGAATCCGGTCACGGAGAATAACTCTATGTAGCTTTCTAAACTTTCCCAGCTGTAGTTTAAGATCAGTTAAAAGAAGAAAAATGAGTTATCAGTGTTCTTGGTATATGAACCTGACTGGATAATATTGAAACGATCGATTGCTTCTAATCTGGAAATGCCATCAGGTCAAGAAAGTTTGATGTTTTCATTAAATGACTCGTATACCTTTGATGCTTGGATTTGTCACCACTCACCAGAAATCCCCACATGAACACGACCCATTCTGGAAAAGGTGGAAGCGATTGCGATCCCTTACCACAATCTCTCGGTTATATATCTTCGATATAAACTTCGTGGCTGAGTGGCAATCTTCACAGACACGCAAATTCTTCACAAATCTAATTGGTGTTCCAGGCGGTGTATTTATAAGAGCAAAAGCTATAGCAAGCTTTTCACTGTGTCTGTATAAAGAATCCTCTTTGTCTTCTTCGTCAATGTCAAGCAACACCTGTGATGTTGCAGGCACATACCCTGCCCTCTTCAGCTCCCTTCCCATCTCATCCACCATTTCATATATTTCCTTGTACTGGTGGTGCGATTTATCTCCAGCCACAAACTCGTGCATTTCATTATTTAGCTCGATCATAGTGCTCCCCGGAATCTTTTTCATCCCTTTCATATCCATCTTTTCTCTAATCTTGATTTTCTTCTCCCAGTGCAGCAATTTTGCATAAATGTTTGAAAGTAGCACATAGTTAGATTCACGCATCGGCTCGTTTTGTATTAGCTGTTTTGTGATGCTCTCTCCAAGCTTGAGCTCCCCACCGGCGTGACAGGCAGTGATTATGCTTCTCCAAATGATTTGGTTTGGTTCAATGGGCATTTGTTGTACAAAATCCAGAGCTTCTTTCACAAGTCCAGCTCTGCTCAATAGATCTACCATGCAGCCATAATGTTCTATCTTGGGCTCAATGCCGAATTTCTCAACCATTGAATTGAAATAGTGACGTCCTGTTTCAACTAACCCTGAGTGGCTACAAGCAGAAAGCAATCCAATAAAAGCAACATCGTCAGGGGCTACCCCTGCTTCTATCATCTCTTCAAATACAGAAACAGCTTCTTCGCCGCGACCATGCATTGCCAGGCCAACAATAACAGAAGTCCACGAAACTATAGTACGAACGCTCATTTTTCTGAACAATTTTATGGCCTTGTCAATCTCACCACATTTTGCAAACATATCTATCAGAGCATTACAGAGCTCCACTGGCTGTTGGATATTTTCTCGGCGAACATAAGATTCTATCCACTTCCCCAGCTCAAGTGCTCCTGAATCCGTGCACGCAGATAAAACTGAAACCATCGTGATTTCATCTGGGCGAACTCCAATAACCTGCATTTCCCTAAACAATGCAATGGCATTTGCAGAATGGCCTAAACGTGCATACCCGCCAATCATCGCACTCCATGTCACTGAATCTAATTTAGGAGTTTCGTCGAACACCTTTCTTGCAGACTCGACCCCTTCGTTACAACAACAATACATGTGAATCATTGTATTCTGGACATGAAGATCGTCATCAAATCCGAACTTCACGACCGACCCATGAACAGATCTGCCTAAATTCAAATGTGCAAGGCCCGCACAGGACTTGAGGACGAATGGGAAAGTGAATTTATTAGGCAAAACTCCGTAATCGAGCATGGTTCGGTAGAAATATATAGCCTTGTCCTTCGAGTTACCCGTTTGAGCATAAGCCCTAATGACAGTATTGAACAGGAAAGCATCATAAACACGAGTATTGGCTTCGGAAGAGAATATAAATGGCGAAGCATAGTGGATGGCATCAAGCTCGGAGGAAGTGGATGCGAACTTGGTGAGGACTAATGGGTTATTCCGAAGACCCAATTTGAGAATAAGAGTTTGGATTTGGGTGAGCTTCTGGATAGTATTGCAGGATTGAAGAAAAGCTAAGCAGCTCTGCTCAGCAACTCTTCGTTTTGTGGTATCGGGTGGAAGTTGGAGATTGGTCGAGAGACTAAAGCTGGCGATCGAACGACACAGCTTCGTCCGAGGTCGCATAGGTTCGTTTCAGAATCCTCGACGGCTAATACCTGAAATTGAAGCAAGTCCAGTTCATGCTTCATCGTTCTCTTCCCTCCTTTGACCGAGAAGATGAAGGCGCAAAACGCCATCATGTTTTGTTTTGTTTTTTAAAAACATTTATTAGTCAAATAAAGTACTTCGATCGAACTTCAGCCAACCCCTCTCCATGTGCCGCTCATGAAATAAAAATATTTTTCTTGCATTATTTTCAATAAGATATTTAAAAAATAATCCACCAAATAATTAGTTTGATCAACTTTTTTGAGTCACAAAAATTAGTTAGTTAGTTAAATTTCGGAGACCAAACTGGCCTCAAATTTTAGGATTAAAACCATGTCAAAATTTCGGGTTATAATTATAGTTAAGGTACACGACCCAGTTTTGGATGATAAAAAAAAAAGCTGTTATTCCTTTACGACACTACCAAAAACATTGCATCGCTTGAGATCCATCCAAACGGACCCTAACATTTCGCATATGCTGTTTAATTTATTGCTCTCACGTGGCTGGTGACCGGTGAGAATAGCGGCCACGTCAGTTTCTCTCTTCGATCGACTACGATATGAGCACGATTGTGTTCGCGCCATGAGAAGCAATAAGGTTGATTGCTCAAGCGTCGGATATGAGAATGATTAGAAGGGTTTCAATTTGGTATCATCTCTGTGATGGACTCCTGGCTAGAGGCATTTCGAAGCTAGGCGTCAATGTAGTTCGCTCTTATTGTGATGGCTCCCAGTCACAACTTCGCCATCATAAGATTCCAGGTACCTCCTCCTCTTCGTCAATTTTGTATTTCTTTATTTGCTTCCGTCGTGAAACTTCATAGTGATAAAATGTTTGGACTTTCAACCATTCAGCTGATTCATTTTATTTGGTTTAAAGTTTTACATTAATTTTTCCTGTAACTGTGATCCCCCAGGGCCGCTGGTCCAGTATAGAAGTCTGGTTGCGCAAGGGAAGCTGCAACATGATCCTTATCAAGAAAGTGTTGCTTCAGAGCTGGAGAATTTGCTTGCAAGGTTGGAGCAGTATGACAAAGAAATGGAGGAATATCATGTAAAACTGGAATTGAATATTCTGTTCACTGCCTACGTCATCTAATTCTTCTATGTGAAATATATGAACGCTTATCTTGTGGCTCATAGATACTTTTTAATCTTAACTCTTCGCAGGTAAATCTGTCCAACTGGGAGAGGAATCGGGAAAATGAACGTCGTAGACTCATGATGCAGGAAGTCGAGCACCACCAACAACATGAGGACTGGTGGACGCGATTAACCAAGCGTCGGAATAAACTTGTTGAAAGATGGACCTCTCGGTAAAGTTTGACCGAATTCGATACGGTCTGATTCAACTTGGCTTTTGCTGTATCATTTCTGACTTGGACTTTTTTACTGCTTATGCTTAAAATGAATTCGAACTCAAAATTCAGTGTTAGCTAATGTGTTATCATTTCAAATTAAGTCTAAAATCGGTGCCATCTTGATTATTTTCTGAATCAATATATGTCTTCACGACTCAGGAAGAAACCAAAACATATGGAGCCAGGAGTGGGAAAATGGGTTTCGTATCTTAATCGTGAGAGGAAATTAGATTCACTGGGCGGTCCCCGTCCAAAAGCTCCACCAGCACCAAAAGGACTTTACATTTATGGCAATGTTGGCAGTGGTATGCCACTAGACATTGTTCTGTTTACCAGGAACGCAAACTTATACGGTTATGCCTGCCTAGTTTGGTTTCTTTTTTAAGTTAAATGCATTCCTTGAAGTTTCTGCCTGCATCATTTATGTCATCCACTACAGTAGATATATATTCTTTCCTCAGTTCACTTGGTAGCATCGTGTTGCTCAATTCTTTCTATATTAATTTGCTAACATTGTGAGCAATGAAGGGAAGACAATGCTGATGGATATGTTTTATATTGCCACTGAACGAATTGTTAAACATCGAAGAAGGTACCACTTTCATGAGGTGAGTCTTGAATAAATGTTTGGGCATTACTTGGATCCCGATGTTAACTTTGAGTTGGATGTCGTATATGCTCTTTCTGAAATATATGCTTAATTTATCTCTAGTTAGAGTGAGACGATTGACAAATCGTGTGCAGAAGATGCTGAAAGAGAATCATGCTGTTTACCATTCATTTGCAGGCCATGCTAAGAATAAATGAACAAATGCACAATTTATGGAAGAACCAAAGAGAGGAAAAGTCTTTGGAATCAAGCATTTCTAGTTGGATCATGAATCTTCCCTTTGATTCAAAAGCTAAGGAGTGGCTAGCTGCAGAAGAAAAATACAAGGAAGAAGTGCAGATGAAAAACATTCTCCTTGCTGTAGCAGACAAATTTTTTGTGGATCAAATAGAAAATGAAGGGGGAGCTAGTATTCTATGCTTTGACGAAATACAAGTAAGAAAAGCATTTAACCTATTATTAGGGATACTTGGTATCTTCATCCTTACGTGGAGGCTACCATGTTCTGAGAATGTTGAGGGATAACAAGAGAGTGTTGCCTATTGATGTTATAGCTGAGTAAGTGTTGAGAGAAAATAATTTGTCCGCAGAATATTTCTAGTGGGAGAGAGGGAATTAAAGAAGTGTAATGCACTATTTAACATCATCATGCATTGTACCTTGCTTAAAAAGTCTAAATTTAGAATGAAATCCTTTATTAGTGTGAAGTTATATTAGTTTATCTCCTGCTTGAGAGATAAAGTAACTCCCAAACCTCAATTATCTTACATACTTACCTTGTGAATATCATAAGCACTGGAATAGGAGTTCCAGTGAACGCCAAATTTTTGTCAGTAAGGCTTTTGATAGCTCTGACATTACAAAGAGGAACATTATCCTGAGGTTATTTTGTCCAATCCATACATAATTTTAGTGTCAGATCGTATTTTGGGGTGGAAACCCAATTTAGCTTGTAAAGCTGGGTTGCTATGAGATTAAATTGCATCTTTTGTCATCCCTCCCTTGCTACCAATGCTATTACAATGAGTTCACTTTATATCGGAGTGCTTGCATTCCATTGGCTGGCTTGCTACTTTTTCCATGACCAAATATTTCTGCTCTTTATTTCAGACTGTTGATGTCTTTGCTATTGTGGCTTTATCTGGAATTCTAAGCAGATTGCTGAGTACTGGAACTATAATTGTGGCTACCAGTAATAGAGCACCAAAGGACTTAAATGAGGTGCGGTATTTATGAATCAATCATTTATGGGTGGCGATAGTATTTTCACCAGCCAATCCATATTGTGCAACTCTGATTATTTTTGGCAGACTAAGACAAGTTGTTCATTTTTTAATTATTTATTTTCTGGACAATCATTGTTCGTGCAGGCTGGTATGCAAAAGGAAATCTTCCAAAAACTTGTCTCGAAATTGGAACAACATTGCAATAATGTATTAATTGGTTGTGAAATTGATTACCGTCGTTTTATAGCCCAAAGATCAGTAAACCAGGTTAGATATGGGTCGTATTATTTCTCCCTTCCTCTGTTTCATTTGTGCAGATCTTGCATCAATTCAATATTAAAATCCAGAGCAAAAAGAGTAGTAGTGCAACGATTTCCCTTTGAATCAACTTTGATCTAACTTGGTCATTTGATGGAGATTTGCACATATAACCAGTTACTTGGCTAAGCATATGTGATCAACTATGGCTGTTATTTTATCTTTCTATGGTTGATTTTGCTAGCTAGATCAATGTTAGCTAAATATCTCTTAAATATTCTCACCAAGAAGGCTTTTAGGCAAACTCATATATTGACTTTCAGTAAAAAGCTTCAATTTCAAACATATAATGATATCACTGGTATATAAATGCAGGTACATTATTTATGGCCTCTTTCAAGAGATGCTGTGAATGAATTTGAGAGAATGTGGCATGATATAACAGGAAGACTGGGAGGAAAAATAGTCTCTAACATTATCTCGGTGATGTTTGGAAGGTAGATTACTTGATTAAGTTTTTCAAACTTAAAAGGTGGACAATATTATTAATCATATGCTTGTTTCTGACAGGACACTTGAGGTTCACGAAAGCTGCAATGGAGTTGCACGCTTCACATTTGAGTATCTTTGTGGTCGTCCGGTATGATATATTTCTTTTCGTTTTGTTATTGCAAGTTAATCTATTGTCATGGAACCTCATTCTCTGACCTTTATTCCTAGTCGTTTTACTTTGCAATGTTAATTGGAAGTTAAGCTTATGCATTTATTTAATATTTCTGTGACCGGGTAATAATTACTCCCCAGAGTTAGGATATCAACAGGATGGAACCTGTTTATATATAAATTCTGTTGTCTTTGTGGTTGGATCCTCACCCCTGTGCCCCCTACAACCAGCCAACCCAGTACCTCCCGAGGAAGGATGGAGGACTTGGACAAGATGGAGGACTAGGGCTATAAATCAATAAAGAAAACTTCAGCTTCACTACTAAAGTAAGGTTTATAATATAATTGGAAATGCTGAGCTTCTAGGTATGATCTGGAGTTGGAGTGTAGTTGAGCCGAAGGAATGAAAGATCAAAACAATTGAGACAGCCATCTGGTATGGAAGTTGATAGAGAGAAATGTTAGCTATGAAAACCGAGAAAACCATGTCCATGTGCCTTCTTGTAAAGGACTTTGTGATGTTACAAATGCTATGCTCTGTTCTTATTCCCTTTTTCTGTCAGCGTCACTTGCATTCTTAATAGATCTTCATTCTCTAAGTAAACTTTTTTGTTGATTTGTTTGTGTGCGTGCATGAATATTTAGGCAATTACAGAAGATGACTTATAATTTCTCCTTCTCCTCCTCCCTTCTAGTTGGGTGCAGCTGATTATATTGCAGTAGCTGAAAACTATCACACTGTTTTCATATATAACATTCCAGTGATGAGTATGCGTATTCGTGACAAGGTATGGTTGATTTCTTTTTGTCCTCGACCGTGTCAAACAATTTTTTTTTCCGGCCAGCACTGTGTCGAACATTCATGATTGATATGATATGACACTTCAGTTACACAAAACATATCATTATCCTGTTTTGAGCAAAAACATGCTACTTTGCAGGCACGGAGATTCATCACCCTTATTGATGAACTATACAATCATCATTGCCACTTGTGTTGTTTGGCAGCCTCTTCGATTGATGAATTATTTCAAGGAACTGAGGAGGGAACACTCTTTGACTTGGAGAGGTAATTTTATCAATTTGTACCAGCTATGTAGTAAATACAGATTCAACAGATCTTATCAGCGAACATTATGTGCTTCAACTGTTTGTGTCCTGACGCTTGGTGGCCTTTTTTTTTAAAAAAAAAAAACACTTTTACGCTCTGGTTTTGTTTCCAGTTTCCAGTTTGAAACAGAGACTGAAGGTGGGAAACTTCGAAGAGACGTCTTAGCAGAAGGCAATGTGGGATCAGGAGGTGCCCCTTGTGGTATCACATCCATTCTGTCTGGTCAGGAAGAGATGTTTGCTTTTCAGCGAGCTGTAAGTATTGACCTTTCCTTCAGCCTCTCTCCCCTGCTTGCTGTTGCAACCGAATCTCTAGTTAGCATGAAATTGATTAATAAGTCCATTCAGTGGATCCTGTTGCGTATTCTCTGTTTTTCATGACAACATGCTTTGATGTTTTCCTAGTATTTGGTTGCCTGTTAGTGATCATGACATCTGCTGGGTTTTCATCTGCTTTCTTCTGCATCCCAACAGAGCCAGAAATGTACATCCTCTTTCTTATAACTGAATTTGAGGATCAAAGGCTTATCACTTGATAATATAATTGGAATACTATATGTGTATCTTCTGTCATCTGTCACCAACTTCCTCATGCATTTTGCTGGAATATATCTCATCCATGTAGCACCGATATGTGCATTACGTGATACACATAATACACAGATTTTATAATATTGTACTCGATACTCATGCCGGTATCTGTGCATCATAGTATTTCATAGATGAAAACTGTCAGGGTATAGATTCTGTTTATAAATATACACCTGACAGTTGTCTCCTGTATTCTTTGTTTTCGTTTTTTTTTTTAAATGATGAGAGAAAAGGTCCAAAAAATGTGAACATAAGATCTTTCTTCGTAGGTCTCACGCTTGATTGAAATGCAAACGCCATTGTACTTGGATGGAGTCCGTAATTTCCACCCTTACTTCCAGAGGCAACGTCAAGAATCTCTTAAAATATCTCGCGAGAACTTGCAATATGACATATCAGTCTGAACAGTAAGCATTTTTCGGCCAGCTAATCAATTGTTTAAGGTGCAGTTTGTAGCTCCAGTTCTCGTGAGCCTACACTTCGTTGCTCTTCAGTAATAAGCATCGGCAGAGGAGTGATTGACTTTGTGATCCATATCGATTCTTTATTCCTTAGTGCCATATCCCTAGATGGCGCTGCAATGTATAATTAATACTTATTTTTGTGCTCTTCTAAATATATAAATCCTGAATGATGTTCAAATGTATCAACTTTGTTGTTAGAAGGGTAGTGAATCATGATTGATGTAGTTCAATGGTAATTTCTGTTTTCTTTTCAAACTCGATGAACTGATCCATAAATCTTGGTGGGATATAATAGATTGAGTACAAAATCTTGCGTTTTACATGATTGACCTTTGTTTGGCTTATATATGTTTTCTTTTGACGCTTTTATGCAAAATTAAGGAGTTACGAAACCTTGAAGACATGGCAATATGTGTAACTGAAAGTCCCCCAGAGTTTTACGGCGATTCGATGATGGAATTCTAGATAAGTTACGTTCACTGTGGATCATTCTAGAATCTCTACTACAGACAAAGCACTCTAGGATCATTCTTGGATCCCTTCTCTTCAACCCAATTTGCTCTCAAGGTCAAACGCTTATTATTATGCATGCAAAAACGATTTCGTTGAAGATTCGCGCATGGCGTGTGAGGATTTTGCTCCACGCACTGAATCCAAGTGCATATTTGATTTTGAATGGCATTTAAGGCATAAGCTTTGAATTGATATTTAAATCGCAGGCGTGAAGCTAACATTGAGCTAGCCCACAGGATAATATACTTCAGGTTACCGAAATTACGATGTTGCCTGCTAATTAGAATGAATAATGTATTTTTCTTTTTCTCGCGAATCCAGCCCACTGCGAAACACGTGTGAAACATGATCAAATTGATAGGTGACAACTAAATCACTTTATAAAGAATTATATAACTACCTCATCTCCACTAAATTACTCCTTCGGTCCTAAATATAAGACTCTTATACTAGTGTATATAAGGGTCTTATATTTAAGACCGAAGGAGTACTTTATAAACAATTATATAACGTCCTAAACGTGATTGCAGAGTACTTTGAACTGAATTCTTACATTATAATAAGTTTATCTGATTGTGCTCTCACCACTTGACATTTCACCACTAACAATAACATATTATTAGAAGCCTCTGGCTTCTTTTCTGATGAGTTCCCGACCACTTCGCCTCTCTATGAGATTTACATGCATCCATTTTGAATGGATAAACCCTTTCAACGATCACTGTCACTTCTTCATTTTTTATTTAGTGGAGGCTTACGCCTTATCTTGGGAGGCTGGGCATCCCTTCATGGTCAAAAACTCTTCGCTATATGCTATATCCTTCGTTGTTTAGTGGCAAAGCTCACAGATACCTATCTAAGCATCCAAATGCAGAGACAATCGTCGAATATCTCATTGTTCCTCATCCCAGACAAGAATCTTTTCTCGCTTCAAACATGTTCTCTTTTCGTGCTCATAAATGAATCATTAGTGTTTTTTCCTCCTAATACAGTGCCATTTAGCGACTTGGATCTCGTTTTTATAGAGACAATAATAAGAATTCGAATTGGAGGGTCTTGCTTGCGGCACGAAAGATTCCATCTTTTGATAAACCATCATGGAAAAACAGAGTAGCCATATTCTCATCACTTAGCCCATTGAGAACGCTTCTCAGTGATGTTTGGTTCTTTAGTATTGAGAAAGCGTAATTTCTCTTAACTTGTATATTTAACATTCTAGCGTACTACAAACAAGGATCAGACACATAATCTAAATCACATGACAGAAATCCACACATTCTGCTTGCAGTGTTCTGAATCAAAAGCTTCCTTATTCCTTGAGCTGTACATTTTCTCTCGAGAATCTGTATCATTATATCCTGCATGAACATCCAGAGATCGGATAAATTAAAGCAAAAATTGGTTAAAAGTACTTGTCAAAGAAATCTATTGACCAAAAGGACCTATAACTCCTATCTTCGACTAAGTCTTCAAAACGAAAGATATTTGCACATAGTGGAAAATATATCATAGTGAAGAAGACAAATTCAGTTCTTTTAAACCAATGAACTTTTCAAAGGGGTACTTCCCACTAATTTTTCCTAAATGATTTTAAATTGAAAGCAGAAAGCACTAACTGGATATATTCGATGTTGATGTCAGCATTATGGAAGCGGGAGATGGTGGAAAAGGCACTTCTGGACAGGAGGATAGTGTTAGGACATGGCGATTTCTTGCAGAGATCAACCACTTTGACGTCAACACTGCCTGATTTGCAAGGCTTATTATGTCCACTCACACACCTTATTCTGTATCTTCTTCCACAGGCCGCTCCGTTATCCCACAGCCCTTCGCTCACCGCCACGAACAGATTCCCCGGCGGGAACTGCTCTCTCTTGCTCCCATCACACGCCGTCGCTGCCACACAATAATCAAAACAATTAACGAATTTATAAGCTTCTAACTAATTAATTAATTTAATTAATCACTCACGTATGTATGGAGGTCCGTAAGAATTAGCTGTGCCAACGTCGCCAACAACTAGGCATGCTTCTTGAACCAATAGGCTTGAAAGTAATATTGCAATACCAACGAGCTTCATGATGAAGGAGAGGGAATCGCACTTATTCCACTTTGATTCTGCTTAATGCTTCATCTTCGTCTCAATTTATAGCCGCTGAACGATTCTTACAAGATATGCGTGATACGTCATAATATGCTTTATAAATTAAGAATCTTGCGGGATACATGTGAATGACGGTTTCTTCACTGATGATATATAGGAAAAGTGGAAATAACTAATCTCCTGTTTTTATCAGATAACCATGAGCTCGTTAACGAATATTGCTTGTCTGGATTTCAAATTTAAAGCGATAAAATTGATCAATTTAATATAAAAAAAAGTATAAAAAGTCACAATATTTATACTACCTCCAATCCTAATTATAAGTACTAGTTGATTAATTTGGAGAGATTAAGAAAATAAGTTAAGTTAGTTATTTATAATAAATTGATGTTCCTAAAATACCCTTGGTAATTAAGTTTATTGGCTAGAACTACCATTATTAGAAGGACTACCTTGAGAAAAAATACATAAATATGAGAGAAAAAGTGGATTAAGGTCTTATAATTAAGATCAAAATAAAAATTAAATGAGATCTTATATTAACGACCAAAGGTAGTAATACATCATCTGATTCTGCGGGCTGGGTCTATGCCATGATGACTAGAGCCGGGAAAACGGGCCGAGCCCATCGGGCCGGCCCTTTTAGGCCCTGAAATTATGACGGCCGGACTTGATATTTTTCTCTTAAAATGAAACATAAGCCCTGGAGGGCCGAGGGCTTAAAAGGGCCGGCCCTAGAGGGCCACGGGCCGGCCGTTTTAAGCCCTTTTATATTTTTTTTTATTTTTAAAATTTTTTTATATAATATTAATGTTATTAATTTTTTACATTGTTAATAATATTTCAAATATTTAGTTATTATTATCATTTTAAAAGTAAATTTAGTTTTAGATAATAATTTATCCAATTAAATTTTTAAAAAATGGGTTAATTTGGACTTTAATAATGATTTGATTTATATTATATGCGTTGATATTTTTAAACTATATATATATTTGATAATAGAATATTTTTATACTTATATAACTTGTGATTCTATAATTTGAATTAGAAATTCATGAGTTTTAACAGCAATGTTTCTCACATTAAAGTAAAAAATAGTTAGATTGCAAAATTTAAAAATAAAATTCTTATAAAGAAGAAAAACTTGATATTTTTGTTACGAAAGAAAAGTATACTTATGAAGAAAAGTAATTAATTATAGTGATGATGAAGTTTCAAAAGATTAATAATAGTGTTTATTTATTGCACAATTGCATTATAGATAAAACTTTTAGATGTTGTTATCTTGTTAATGAATGTTTTAGATGTTGATGAATATTTATATATGATGATATTTTATATGTGACTTAATTTTATTCATATTTATGTCTTTTATTAATAATTTCATTGATTTATTTTTATAAAAAATATGATAAATATAAAAAATAGTATTTTTTCTTAAACGGGCCAAAAGCCCGCGAGCCGGCCCTAGCCCTGTAACTTAAGGACCGGGCCTAGCAAATTGGGGTATTTTTAAAATTCCAGCCCTGGAGGGCCGGCCCTTTTAAGCCCGCCAGCCCTGAAGGGCCGGCCCTGATTCCCGGCTCTAACGATGACCCAATGGGATAGTTTTTGGTTGTCATTCAAACTCAAGGCTACCAAAAAAGGCCCATAAGTGTACAACAAATGAAACCCTCCTGATTCACGTGGTTGGTTGATATTTCCCATTCTATCTCAGAAAAAAAAAAAAGCAGGACATAAAAGGTCGTTGGACAAAAAAAAGAAAAAAGAAAAAAAGAACGAAGGCATAAAAGGTCAAATCCAACTTAAATGAGAGAAGAGGAAGAGAGAGTGAAGAGTAGAGATTGAATGTGGTGAGGAGTACCTTAGTCCTAACTTGACCTCCCCTGTGAATCCTCTTTCTGTTTGCTGTTAGATTCACAGAAGAAAGAAAACAAAGGCCAGCCAGAAAAAGTCGTTCAAAGACAAACAATCACAGTGAATTTATTCTTTTTTTTTTTTTGGATTACTCCATCCGGTATCCCAGGGAAATAGGCGTCTTTCAGCCGTGACAACGTCCCCAGACTAATCCGGATTCGAGGGCTTGCAAGGATCCATACGGACGGCGCCCCCTGGCCCCTTGGAGTGCTGCGTTCCCACGTCTCGAACCCGAGATCCGTGGTTAAGCTAGGACGACCCCAGCCAGTCGACCTAACCCCGCGGGGTTACAGTGAATTTATTCTTTAATCACACTTAATAAATTTTTAATAGAATTTATCTCTCTTTTTTTTGGCCTGATAATAGAATTTCTCTCTCATTCTTACCTACAGCTAGCCTTTCCCAAACACGTGGCAATGATGGCTTCTTTTTGTTTGTTTTTTTTTTTTTAAGGATAAATGGAAACGACATACTATACGGCAGGCGGAGGCGGAGCAAAGGGGAAAGAAGCCAAACGACGTAAAAATCTCATCACTCACCGATATGTGCACTCGATTCGATTGCACAATTGGGAAATCGGTTTTTAAGAAAACAGGGAATCAGAAAAACCTACTATATTTATACACATTCTCACATGTTATATCCCGTGTAGCGTCGGAGAAAGAGAGAATCAGTTGCCGCGGGGGCGGAACTGGAGACACACAGATTCACCTACACGGCAACCTTCCTTTTACTATCTGTACCTTCAAGCTTCTCTTGCTTCTGGCTTACTTTCGCTTTCACCGCCGTCGGAGACGGATTATTCAAAAACCAGTGCTGTTTTTTTACGCATAAAGTCGCTCGCACTCCGAACGTAAATCAGAGTATTGGTTTTTCGTTATCTCTTATTCCCTTGGGTTTAGAACGATTTCTTTGTATGCGCATTTAGCCGGAAACAAATTTCCCTCCCCATTGTATCCTCTACACGTCCGAAGCGTTTGAACTCGATGGATTTATATTAAACCCTGGCAGATACCTTATCCTAAGGCTTGAATTGATGGGAAGGGGAGGGATTCCGTCAATTGATGACAAAAGAGATAGGCTTTTCTCAATCTCTGATTTGGGGTCTCCATCTCCATGGGGTATTCAAGATGGCTATTATCCACCCGGAGGCTTATTTGCCAGCGTGAATCAGATTGGAATGGGGTTTGGCGCTCAACCCAGCTCTTCTGATTCCCCCAACAATGGCGACGAAAAACTTCCCTATGCTGAATTGTTCGTGAAGTATGTGCAGTCACTGGGCAAAGTTGAGAATGATGGAGTAAAGGCAGAGGAAAGGAATAAAAGCCGGAAGAAGGGTGGTCTTCAACTGAAAATTAAGATCAGAAATCCTTCGCTAAGGAGGTTAATTAGTGGCGCCATAGCTGGGGCCGTGTCCCGGACCGCAGTGGCACCTTTGGAGACTATAAGGACTCATTTAATGGTTGGAAGTAGCGGCCATTCTTCTACTGAGGTGTTCGGCAATATTATGAAGACTGATGGCTGGAAGGGATTATTTAGGGGTAATCTCGTTAATGTGATTCGGGTTGCACCTAGCAAGGCCATAGAGGTAATATAATGTCACTGGGTATATCTATATCCCACATGTTTTTGAGACTTGTTCTTTCTCTCTCCTGCATAAATTATGAAATAGCTGATAGCTTACTCGGTTGATTTTGAAAGATTTATTTGGGTTGCTTGATTGCCTCTTGCCCATTACTTTGTGTGTTTTGAAGTTTTACTTCTATCCTTTTTGGCCTTTCGCAATGGGGAAAAACCTGTCGCAGTTTTCGGTGTCTAATATCAAGTTTTTGTGAGATTTATGGCCTGTAAAACAACATTTTTTTAAACTAGAGGGGTACGGCCTGAATCTCGATCGCCAACCTCCCACTTACAAAATTATAATATTACTTTAGAACCTACCAGCTGCAGTTGATGTAAATTTCCTCAATTTTTCCCTGTTTCTATGTTGTCACTTTCGTCACGATTGCCTTCCTCTAACCATGGTTTGGTTCATGACATTGTCTGTCTTAAACTATTTTTTATTAGCAGCTCTTGTTGCTTAAATTTCCTCCGATGAATATTTTCTTTTCTTTTGCAAGTATTAGATCATATTTCCCTCACAGGAAAGGGCTTTTTAAGTTGACATGGAATCCTTTTTCCTACGTCTCAGGTGGTTCCCATGACATTGTCACTGTTAGAATCCTTTTTGTCAAACTAGATTTGTTATGCCTCCCTTACACGCTTCTAATCCTTTATTCCTTTGGCAGCCTATTTTGGGCTTAATTATAATCTCAAGTTTTTGAAAGGAAAACATGGCCGCAACAAGCATGCTGCAAGAATTAATGGATTGTTGGAAATGCATGCTTCAAATTGAGAAAATTATTTGCTTATTTCCGTGAAAGGTTCTAATCTACTCTTTCATGGCATCGTTTTTAATATAAGTATATTTTCACCTTTTTCTGCAGCTATTTGTTTACGATACCGTCAACAAGAATCTATCCCCAAAGCCCGGGGAACAGCCAAAACTCCCTGTATCTCCATCATTGCTTGCGGGCGCCTGTGCAGGAGTTAGTTCTACTATATGCACATACCCGCTTGAGTTAGTCAAGACTCGTTTAACTATTCAGGTATCCATGTGGGGAAAAGATATAGTTGATTTTCCTCTGCTTAAAACTTTAATCCTATTTAAATAACGTCGAGAAAACTTACACTGAATAGTAATTCTGCTGCAGAGAGGTGTTTATGACGGTTTGCTTGATGCATTCTTAAAAATAATTCGTGATGAGGGCCCTGGGGAACTTTATCGAGGCCTTGCTCCCAGCCTTATCGGAGTGATTCCGTATTCTGGTACCAATTACTTTGCCTATGACACTCTGCGGAAAGCATACCGAAAAATTTTTAAGCAAGAGAAGATTGGCAACATCGAAACTCTCTTGATTGGCTCAGCAGCTGGTGCTATTTCAAGCAGCGCTACTTTTCCTCTCGAGGTGGCTCGCAAGCATATGCAAGTGGGAGCTCTTAGCGGAAGGCAAGTTTACAAAAATGTGATTCATGCTCTTGTAAGCATACTCGAGCAAGAAGGGATTCCGGGTTTATATAGAGGGTTGGGACCAAGCTGTATGAAGTTAGTACCAGCTGCTGGAATCTCTTTCATGTGCTATGAAGCGTGCAAGAGAATACTGGTTGAGGCAGATGGTGAGGAATAGCCATGAGAGGCAGAATTGCATACTTCTATTTTTTGCCCCAGGTGGAATTGCATGCTTCACGCGTTCGTCTTATTTATTTTGCATCTTCTTTTAATAAAATAACTGCATCTTTTTTCCCCCAGCTTATTTTCTCCAAGCAATTGAGGGTGGATTATTGGTTTCGCAAGTTATCTATATTTTTACCACTTGACACTTATAGTCAGTTTTGGCATTATCCCGGCTATGATGGTTTTGCTTTAGGTGTTACTTGTCACCTATTCTCATATTCTTTCATGCATTGTGACTAGTCAGTTTTGGTAGGGTACTTACTGCCTTCATGCTGAATTCTAGGCTTCGTTGGTATCTGCGGAGTTTTGAATTATTTCAGTTTGATTGGATAGATAGAATCAATAATTTTCGTGGTTTTTTTTTAAAACATTATATTCATAATAAAAAAATTAAAATATAGTGTATATTTAAGTTTGGCAGATGAAAATATTAGTTTATTTTTATGGATGGAAAAGCTAAGTTACTATAATATTTCTAGTGATTTTCTTTCCCATATTATGTTATGGAAAATAAACAAGTCATTGTGTAGCCGTTATTTCTGTCAAGACTGATATTGGTTTATTAGCCGCTAGGAGTAGATAGATACTTTAGAGTATGAATAAGACGTTGGAGATGCGTAGATCAGTGAATATCAGTGCAATTTAATGTCTATCTATCAATCTCTCTTCCTCTTTTCTCCCTCTCGAATCCCTCTCTCCCCCCTATATTATGTGAATAACACAACATATTACCAGTTTCTGCAAAGTAAAAAGAAACCAAATTTTTGAACTGTTAATCAGGTTTCACAAAACACCACTAGATTCGTGAAATCACGCTTCAATCCCCGAGAAAAGGGTAAATGCTTCTACACAGGAACAAAATTGCAACTTGTTTCCTGTCATTAAAAAAATTATTATTATGATAAATAAATTGTATCATTTGAACAAAAAATAATATCACACCCACATTGAGCTCTACACAAGTAATTTAGCAAGAGCATGTAAATAAAGAGCAGAACAAGTAAACCATAGGGTTTTCCCATCTTTGTCAGGGATAAATCCCCTATAACTTAAGATCATCCTCCAAAGACAACTTAAATAGACTGACTGACTCTTGCTATGCCTATATACATGATTGCATCCTCGAGTCTGAACACAAAAGGGCAAATCTTAACACATCCAAAATCATCATCTTCATCAAGAGAACTAGCAGTTGATGCCACATTGACCATTGCTAGAAGCTTTTGAGTTGTCAGTAATGAAGGGATCAATTCTCACCCACAGCAAGGAGAATATGGAAGCAAGAAGAATAGACCAAACAATAACAATGGTTGGGGTACGATTTTGCCTTCCAAGCAGACCCTTCAAGAATGGGTATAGATGGGCAACCACCCATATGGCAAAGAACAGCTTTCCAAATAGAGGACCCCACGATTGGTATCCACTGTTAATGGCGTAGGATACGCCAGCAACGATCCCTATTATGTTTACTATAAGGACTGTTGTAGGAGGGATCAGAAGTGATGTCCATTTGAACACATAGAGCTCTGCGAATTCCCCATCATCGTCTGATGCCTTTGACGTCACAGTGAAATTTGTATCGATCCCAGCAAGCACTTTTAGAAGCCCTTGGAATACAGCAAAGAGATGTGCAGATGTACCACCAATAACCCAGAACTGCTCATTCCTCCACCAGTCTTCTATACCAACTCCACTCCACCTGAGCTCAAGAATTGAGGTCGCAAAAATGGAGACGAAAAGGAGAATAAACCACATGCTAGCAAAGTTGCTTATCTGCACAAAGTTAAGTAGATTTCCAAGGTAAGGAAAGTTCATCTCCATATATCCTTTACTAGCTGCTGTAGATATTTTTTATGGAAGGTATTTTTATAAAATAATAAAAGAAAAGGACTAAAGTATGTACTTAGAAAATATATTGCAAGTCTATGTAATTTCAGCTAAAACTCAAGAGGTCGCGCACACTATATCAAATAGAAATGATCACCTACCTCTGGAATAATAAATTTATTTGTGAGAAGACAAAACGCAGGGAGCACACAATAAGCAATCAGCGGGATTGAGGTAAAGGGGTAGACAATTGTGTTAATATAAGCCAGCCTCTGCAGGGGCTTCAATCTTCCATTGTAGCCATACCATAGGGGACAATGCCTGCTAAGGAAAATCTCAATGGACCCCAAGGCCCACCGAAGCACCTGATTAAGACGGTCAGAAAGATTGATGGGAGCGGAACCCTTGAATGCGGGTCGAAGTGGCATGCAATAGACAGAGATCCAACCACGTGCATGCATCTTGAACCCAGTCAAGATATCCTCAGTTACAGAACCATAGATCCATCCAATCTGGCAAAACCAGAACAGGAGTGATAAGAGTTCAAACCATTAATGTCACTTCTCAGACTTTACATATATATATTTTGGCCTGACTCAGACTCTTTGTATTAGTGGACATCAACTAAGAAGCAGAACTATAAATTCTCAGTCTCACCTCTTTGCCCCATTCTGTCTTGTCTTCATAACCACAGCTGATGACATGGATTGCTTCCTTGAGAAGAGTTGCAGGGTTAGTTGAGGGAGGAATGCCACCATGCTCCATGAATGTGGCGGCAATGAAAACTGGGGACTGACCAAAACGCTTCTCTAAGCTCTTCTGAGACATAAGAAGTGACCTCTCATCATCATATCCTGCAAAAGAAGAAAAGAATACATCAAATATTACATAAAAAGTAGACTTGAAGACACAATGTCATCCCATTTTTCCAGAGACTCTGCTGACAAATCTGGCAGACAAAAATATAATAAATAAGCTTAATTAATTGTCACATTGAGCATGGAGTGAGAATTAAATGACACTAGCAACTGTAGTGGACTTGAAGATTTTCATGATAGCAACAGACCTTCAACACCCTCATCTATGTCTTCCATGTTGAAAATGGGAATAGTGGACTCAGTTCTTTTTGCTGCCCTTTTCTTGTCAATGTACTTCTTATCCTTTCCCTTCTTTCTAGAACCCCAACAACTCTTAACAATAATATTGGGCTCCAAATCTTCCTCAGTCAAAACAGGATCGTAGCCATATAGAGCCTGTCTACTGAAACAACAACCAGTTCCGACATAGACTGGGCCCTGGACACCATCTTGCCCTTTCATGTTGATCTGACAGGTAATGAAAAATGGAATTCAGCCAGTGCTTTGAAAAAGACTATTTTCTAACACTAAGAAAAATTAAAACAAGGGGGAAACTTACATCAAAGAACACAATATTGCGATTGGCATATCGATCATGCATATCAATGCCATCAAACCGTTGAGGGAATTGTACATAGCAAGTCTTCTTCCCCAGAACAGGATCCATCATGAAACACATGGCTTCCTTAAGAGCTTTGCTGTTATTGAAATAGTGGTCACAATCAACGTTCAATAGATATGCACCATTGGTCAATACAGCTGAAACTCGAATCTGTATCATATAACATAAACCCATGTTAATATCCATCCGTTGTTCTCAATATATCCTTCTAGTAAAGCGCAGCCCAGAAATTGCGAAATGGCAAACTAGAACACAGTAAGAGTCATAAATCACATATAGAATATGTTATTCAGAGTTTATCAGTGAGCATCATTGAATGAGATCAGCAACAATTTGTAGGTTGCGTTCCATAACCCATATATGAACAATTACATATAACCAATAATACATAGATGTGCGCATAACTTGAACCCAAGAAATGAAGTTAAAGAGATGCTTCAGCGTCACATACCAGAGCATTCATAGCTCCAGCCTTCTTGTGATGCTGAAAGCCTGGTCGCTTCTCACGGGAAACATAAACAAGTCTAGGCAGCTCATTTCCATCTGTATCAAGGCCTCCACTATGACCCAAGAACACCTGCATGCGATAAAAATTTTACTCCTAACCTGAACACAATTTAAGGGGAGAGTACACATCCACAAGTGCATTTGCAGAAGGACATATACCTGAATCATTCCAGGATGATCCCTTGGATTATTTCCAGGCCATGGGGTTCCATCCTGCATTGTCCAACCTTCTTCAGGCATCTTTTGAGCTTTGGCTACGAGGGCATTGATCCTTACTTTGAACTCTTCATATTCTCTCTGTTAAGCAGAAAGATCAATGTTTAGATGAACTGAATTTCAAATAAAAAACTGATCACATTCTCCATTGTAAAGAAAAACCTTCATTGCTCGGCGCTCCTTCACAAATGAAGGTTGAATCTTGTCCTTCAAGTAATCTATCTTCTGCGCAAAATAGAACTCAGGGGCTCTTGGCTCAACATTGTGCTTTTTGCAGAAGGGCACCCACTTCTTTGCAAACTCAGCAGTTTCTGAAAGCGCTTCAAAAGTCAACATAGCTGAACCATCATCTGATACATAGCAAGAAACCTTGTCCACAGGGTAATCGACAGCAAGTATTGACAAAACAGTGTTTGCAGTTACAAGTGGAGGCTCTTTAAGGGGGTCCACCGTACTAACAAATACATCCACGGGAACCAACTGAGATGGTTCTCCGTCGCGGTCATATCTGAACAAAAACTAAGGGTTAATAAAATGCCAAAGCCTGTCATAATTATCAAAAAGTTCAAAGCCATGAGTAATGAGTAATAGGCCTATAAAGAATCCCCACCTTAAAGCAAGCCTCTCAAGATAAGTCTCCCGATTAATGGGATACCATTTCGGAAACTGATCCAAAATCCAAGACATGGCAAACCAAATCTCACAGATAACTGATGTCAGCCACAGGGGGTATGCATCTTTCACGGGATGAGTTGCACGGTATTGTAAGAAGAAGCCCAGAATAACAAGCCGGAGTATAATTACAACACGATAAGGGGTCAAGTGAGAAGAAGGAATAGGCACCACACGACTCAAAGGCTGTCGAGCATCATCAACCCTATAAGGAACGAATTCCATAAGAAAATAAAATACAAATATTTAAGTGGATGAGTGTTTCTAGGTCATATTATTATATATTCAGGCTACAAATTACACTGTAAGGATTGTTCTAGGCATCAATCAAATAAATATTGGAAAACGGTTGCTAATGTTACTACTTTCCAAGTTCGATCAGCTAGAACTAAACAGTAAGGCACGTGACTTACATTTGCAGTTCTTCTCCATTGGAACCTGTCCCTTCCATGTCGCCCTTCCCTTCATTGTATCTATTACCAATCATTTGCACCATGTTTTTCTCCTGCTTGAGCTTCCAACCTTCAACCCTTTCTTTCCAGTCAACATTAGGCAGGCCGTAAGAATTCAAGTCCTTTGAAGGGTCTACGATTCTGACTGGAACTGCAATAAGAAAAAATATCTTCAATCAACGGTTCATAATAACCATGAAATGTCATTCGGTAGCATGCATCAGCTCAACTTTATACCTGGTTGCCTTGGATCAATATAGGGAAGCGAGTGAACCTTTTCAGATGGCCCCAATGGACCTGATGTTGTTCGCACAGATTGGGTGTCGGGCGTTGGAATCTCACCGGACATCTGACAATATGAAGAAACAATTGATGAACTACCAAATATAAACCAAAGATCACTAAGCAATTACAGAATTAACAGGCAACATTATTTTATAAGACCGCCAAATACAGAATGCATGCTTCCATACTTGAAATAAATACCAATCACAGCGAAGATGACAAAACAAAAAACTCCAAAAGATTCGTTGAAGGATGCTCTTCACTCTCAGATTGCAGTTCATGAACAACGACAGTTTAACGAATTTCATGAGTAACAGTTGGCATGCATTTGGCATGCATTTCGTGATTTTATCAACACTGCCGTATACAGAACGAATACAGTGCTTCTATATGTGAAATAAACGACAATTACAGCAATGAAGACAGAAGGCCCAAAATATCTGTTAACGATTATTCTTCAGTCTTCGATTGCAGTTCAAGAATATGGACAGCTCGACACATTTGATGACTAACAGAGAGGGGTTAGAAGCAAGAAGGAAAAATCCAAAATATGATCCACGAGCAGCAAAAACATCAAAACAGTGAAAGTCACAAGTCACTTCCGAAACAATACCGGCTGTCCATTGGTGAGGAGAGGAATTGGTTGTTGAGAATCATATCTAGCAGATGAAGAGAGATCAGCATCTTCTCCTTCCCATTGCCGCCTAGGTTTGGCATTTCCTTGGTCATAATTGAACTCATTCTCTATATCATCAACATCATCCTCATCATCATCTCCCTCCACTCTTGGACTCCCTGAAATACAGATTCACTTTCTTTATTCCAAAAGTAAAATACAGGATCCAACCCAAAAAAACAATAATGTATGAAGGGGCTAACCTCTGTGCCTCTTGTACCTAGTTTTGCACTGGGGGCAAGACTTGTTCCCATCTTTTCGCTCATATTCATAACAAGGACGGCAAACTGGGAAGGCACACTCATTGCAAGCAACAAAAACATCACCAGTTGCTGTTAATCCCACAGTATCACCACATATTTGACAGATTTGGCCATTCAAATTCTTTAAGGTTTTGGACTGCAGTGTGAAGACATTTTATGAGTTAGAACTAAAAAATTTGAACCGACTTAAAGATGGCACACCCCGTCAACGGAGATATTTATACTTGATAAAACAGAATAGAAAACAAGTTCGATGCCATTATGTCATTGATGTTTAACAAAGTTAATCACGAGACGGATTGGAATCAGAGAAAGATTTACAGCAATTAAGTTTAAAACCCCTTTAATATTACCAGATTACAATTGCAGCTCAGACTGCAGTCGGATCAAATGGCGTCCTATTTGATTAACAAATTCGACATTCTATCCTACTATGAATAAATTCAGTATACAGAACTCTCCAAATCTCACGACATCAAACTAAAACATAAAGTTCTGCGCTTGAATGCATCATTAAGAGAAACGTCAAATTCAGATTTTGATCGCAGCAATCAACTTCTTTATACCCAACCATCATTTTTTTGGATCATATATTCCAACACCCTAAAAACGAAGTGCAAGCATTTCCCAAAATTAATTGACCAAGAAAAGAAAAGCATATAGGTGTCTGGATAAATTAGGCAAAAAGGGGGGCCAACGAAAAGAGAAGAGGGGAGAAGGAGAAAGAAAGCAGCTGGATCAGGACTGACAGAGACCTAATTTCAATGAATCTCAAGCGTCTATATCTGAAGTCTCTTAGAGAAATAGATCTGAACCACAAAAAGGTAATATATGAAGGTAGCCAAGAAGTAACAGTTGCAGAGCGCCAATAGAATCTAATGCAGATTATTCAACCTGATCACTTCCCATTGCCACTCAAAGGAAAGGAAAAAGAATGAAGAAACCAATTGGTTCAATCCACACACACAGTCTCTCACACATACGGTTTTTAAGCAACAACATTGTTCCCTAAAGACGAAAAAACTGGAATCTTAAAAGGGATCTATTTTAACACTAACCCCACTATCTGAATCGTGACGAATTCGGACAAGCTCGTTTCTTTTATACGACCCAGCCACCATCCCCGCAGTGGCTTCCATCTTTTCTGCAATTCTCTGATCTCCCACAGAATGTGCAGATCAATGAAGCTTACGATCGAAAAAGATAGTGAGAGAGATCTGGAACCACCGAGACAAGGCAAAGCTTGAAAATCTTCGCCCACTCAACACGCCATCTTTCTCAGTCTCTCTCTCCCTATATCCCTCTCCTCTTCCAGCTGCCGATTCAGTCTCCAGTGTCTCTCCGTCTGTTTTATTATATCCTTTTTGGCTTATTTTATCGTCGTAAGGTATTTCTACTGGCTAGACCGGTTGCCAGCACACTTGTTTCGTCCTGCGTGTTAACCTCAGTTGAGTTTCTCCCCAAATTTACCGCCGATCACTTTCGATTTCCCGCAGCGTGTTAGGATTTTGACTGGGCCCACTGAACTTGTTGACTTTACTACCCATTCAAGTTCCGACACGTGTTGTGACAGCCGAAACTCGTAAAAGAGATGCGAACTACGTGAGGACTTTCGATGCCAAACATTTCGTGAACTGGTTCCAGGCTGTCCTCCTCTGTCACCGGTAACTTCCGGTGTCCCCGGTGAGCCTCTCCAACGGCTGTCGGTGCCACATGACTTTATTAAAAATTTTAAAAAATTGAAGGAAAACTACGTTCCTAACCCCCTTGCGGACTTCTTCAAGTTTTTCCTCTTTTGCCAGTGGGCCGTTAAGACGTCCTTATAATTTATACGAATTAGTTAGATATTCCATTAATTATTGAATCGTCCATCTTATTTTTATTATTTTCATCGTCATAATTATGATAATTGATAGATTATTATTATTTTAACAATTAGTGAATTCACCCCTCAAATTTTACGCATCTCGGACAAGAAAATTTCACTCAATGACAATCGGCTGCTTTTGATAATAATTTCTTTACATCTGCTTCACGACAATTATTTTTTCATTAGCTTTGATGCCATGAGATTCCCCCTTTTTATTGGGTTTTCATGCCTCGCAGCTACAGGGAATATTTGACACTCCAACCATATTGCCAGAAGATGACAACCATTTTGACATCTAAAAGCTGTTGCGATCTGAATCATAGAACCCATTATACATGTCTGTTTAGGGGAGATGCCAAATTCTTTTATTGGATGTGATTTAAGTTATGATTGATTTGGTATTCTCTGTTCAATATAGTACTTGCTTCTTACTCTGTTAAAACTGATTTTGCATTATTTGATATGATTACAGTGATGGGTTATCTAAATTGATTTACTTTTATCATGATGGTGTTTGAAAGATTTGTTGAAGTTATGTGAAGATCGCTAGCTTTCTGATCCGTTTGCCCCCTTTTGGCTGTTTATGCCGTCTCACCGGCTTGAACCTGAGAATTCTTCCCGGCCGACAAGGTTGAAGTTTTCTGTCATTTTTCACGTTCATAGTTACTTTATGTTTCTAAATATAGATCTTTGAATTATTTAGTCCGTTTGCTTTAAAAAAAAAAAAGAATTATTTAATCCGTATTGTCTTATAATTTAAGAATCACCTTTGCTAAATATCTCAAGTCACATTTCCAGCAATATACAAGGTTCGCAAACACTGCTCCTTCATGCTTTCGTGGCCTCCCAGCAAATAAAAGAAAGACAGACGAAGTAGGTGATCAAAACTTGGGTTCATACTTTCGGGGTCCCCCAACAAATTCGTTTCATGGGAGACAATCATTGATACTTAGGGACTCACCACCCAACATCACCGACAGATCACAGTGCCATGGTTAATAGTATCTTGATTTGCAAAAATCGTTGAGGTTAGTCAAAACTTAAAAAAAAAAAAAAAAAAGGGTGGCCCATCTGAATTTGCGAAGGCGAAAGAAGTGGTTGAGAAATTGAAACGTATACGATGAAACTCCCATCAGATACCAGACTGTAAACAAGGCAGGATCACGACATTCCAACGCACAGCTAGTTCTTTCTTTCAGCTGCTTTTTCACTTGTATTTCTTTTCTCTTTCAAATTTCCTATCTCTTCCTTTATCTTCCTCTCTATACGTTCCTCTAAATATATATATTTAGTATCTCACATGGTTCCTTCAGCACCAGTGCCTCCTCTCCTGCTTGCCGTCGTGTTCTTCAGTATCTGTAAAAGTGCAATAACACAATTGTTGATCAAGATACATATGACTTCATCCAAGTCTAGAGACAGATTACTTCTATGATTAAGTGTTTGCATGTGCAAATTGGTTCAAACAAGCAAGCAATAAATAAGGAAAGGGAATTTGGTACAGCATACAAGTTACACAGAGTAAAAAGTACAGGCGTTCATGCCTAGGATGGTTGCAGATTGTTCTGAATCATTAATCTCAAACTAAAGTGCATCTCCTACTATGTAACTGAGTGCTTTTCCCAATAAGCCACAGCTAATAGACCCAGACGATGAGAAATAGTTAAATGGATCAATCAGTGATTGAGAAACTCGCATATGACCCACATGCTTCTGCACTCTATCATACGCGTCTTTCAATTAGTTTGCCTGAGTAAGTAGATTGAACTCACCCAACAACTTCTTGTTCAAATCGGCTTAGATAGGGACAAGTCAGGGGCTTGGTTCGTTTCTAATATAGAAACCTTAAAAGCCAGTAGTATCAATTAAGCACAAACTTCCCAGATAACAGCCTCCAAAACACATTGTTTCTCTCGTATCCGATTTGTATGTTAACTAAACCAAAGGATACAAGCCTGAAATCATTTGTGAGATGGTTCACATTGACAAGCACACAAATTGATCAACGTTGCCAACCCCACTAATGTTGATCAAAGGGTTTAACACAAATTCCAATTGGGTTTTTAGTTCCGTCCTTCGCTTTGCTTCAACCACGTCAAATCATAGGGAATGGCCGTTTCATATGCATACCTTCCTATTGAAACTGCTAATTTATTCTAAACCGAGGATAATATATAACGTCTAACTATCACCCCTTGCGTTCAGAAAACGATTTTCATAGCACAAGTTATGAAAGCAGCGATATGTCATATGTAGATTTCTTGATGTCATTTGAAAAGGATTTGGTGAGTGAATCATATCATAAGCCAAGCGGCTCATAATGCTCGTTGAAGAACAAAATGAAGTTGAGATGGTAACTAAGATATGACATACATGTCTAAGCATCTGATTCTCGTTCTGTAAAGTGGACAGCCTCTCTTCCAGCTCTGAATTCTTCTTCTCCAAGTCTTTAACCCTGGTTTCCAAATCAATCAGGTATGCCTTCTTCCTTTCCCTAGCTTGCTGCGCTGAAACTCTGTTCCTCAGAAGCCTATTCCATTTACATACCCCACCATTAGGATGTTACAGTTTACAAGATACTATGAGCTTAATCGCAAGGAAAGGGGCAACAAGGTAAATTCATCTAGTCATATTGGTCGAAAACCTCTCGCACTACCTCTTTAGCCGCTTGCTTTCTTTGTCAGCTGAGTTTCTCCCTCTCTTCCTTTGGCCCTCCCCTGCCCCTTGAACCCGGTCTGTAGCCGCACCTGAACCGGAGTCTGGACGAGACGCTGACGGTCCAGCGGTCTCAACGCCGATCTCCGGCACCCGTCTGATCTCCTCGTCACTCTCAATACCTAGATTGAGACAAATTTCGAAAAGAATTCAAATAACCATTTTTAGCTTGTACGGTAAATAAACACCAATGCAACAGGAAGAGTGACTATGGCTTTGCAAATTCTATATGCGAATGACCTTTTTTGGGAAAAACACAGAAGTCTGGTAATGACAATCTCAGGTACCACAAATTTCAAACGGTGAATATGGAAATTCCAAACATATCAAAGAATATTAACTGAATTTGTTTAGCGGAATTAGCTTCGTCTGCATTAAAGGCACTACTGACGGCCTGCGAACCCATACCCAGAGTTCTCTAAAATGTCAGCAAAGATTTTCTTTTTGGCCATTAGAAATGTTACCATGGATTAACATATCCAATTGATGAACCAATCAGCAGTGACAAGAGCAAAAAGCCATTCGTAAAAGAATTTGACCTTCTTTTACTTCAACATGGAGAGCAGAACTTGAAGACTTCTCACTGCTCGAAGGCAGAGAGCTTGCGGCAATAGAACTTGTAGCTTGCTCCTGCATTTGGCCCCCACGAGACGACAGAACCAGAACAAAACAGAAATGGCCGACTGGATTTCAAGAAAATAGAAAGGAACTTGGCGATTGCTATTTGAGGAAGAGGAAAAAAAGCGGGATGGAAGACGTCACAGGGAGGATGTTGACAGTGTGATCATGACCGTTGGATGCAATTGAAATGGACGGTGACGAAGGGACAATCGTGGACAAATATAAGCCATGGGGAATCTGCATAACCAAAGGCCGCTTCACGAGATTATTGGTCAAAAATGAAAAAGGAAGTTATGTGAGATCGTGGAGGAACTTGGATTGTTGGATTTGTGTTGCATCTAACGGACTAAAAATGGGAGGTGAAACATTGAATGTAGACCGGACCATCGCACGTGCACGTGCTTGACGGATTCCGGGTTGGCATTGTCAAGTGTGCCAAGATTATCCCAGACCTTTTTTTTTTCCTGGAAAATTTAATTTTTAATCTAGTATAAGTGTGATTTCTTCTATTGTATCTATAACCGATTTTGACAAAAACGGTCAGTTGTAATCAAATCGGTCTAGAAAGCGGATTATTAACACCTATTTTACCGCCTCCGCTTATTAATCTAAAAACTAATTAATTAATTTAAATAGATTAAAAAATTAATTAAATTAATTATTTGTAATAAATAATTAAAATAGTATTATTAATCGTACGTATTAGTTATGATTATTATTTGATAAAACTTTTAACATGTGTAGCTACTATAACAACTACCTTGAAAATTGAATAGATATGAAAAATAAAATGAATTATAATCAAATTAAATGTCAAATTAACTCTTATATTACTGATCCAATTTAATATTTTATAACAGATGTAAAATGTTCAAGACAACCAATCTAGGAAATATTTTAGACTTGTTGTTTAAAAAGTTATTTTAAAAAAATTTATTAATATCTGCAAAAATAGTACTCATCACACTTTTTAAGTCTATTTTGTACTCATCAGACAGTAACCACACTTCCATTAGAAATCCCGAGATCAGATTAATCACGTTTCTCTAGCAGTCTCAGCACGCGCAAAACTCAAGTCCAGGGGATCACATAAGCAAAGCACTTCACGAGCGTGGGAAGGGCATTGTGGTTGCTGCCTGCTCATGAGCAGGTGGAATAAACAGAACCGGATGCGCCTATCAAACATTTGCGGAGTGCTGCCTCGGTACATGAATCCTGCCAAGAGTAGATAAAAACATGTTTCAGGAGGGTGGAGAAAAGATTTCAATCAATTTGATTTAAAAAATTTGAAGAGATCGGATTAAAAGTTTTTAATTATTTTTTTATTTTACATCTTTTTTTATTAAGCTTTTATAATTATTTTAAATTTTTTTAATCGAGTTTATAAAAAAATTTCTCTCTCCTTCCCTTTCCTTCCCTCCAACGATCTCATACCAGACATTCCAAGCTTATTGCTGTTAGGGAGTGTTAAAAATGCCTCAGAATTATATTAAAGATAGAAATGCGTCTCAAAAAATATAATTATCAACCCTGAATGCGTCTTGCAGCGTTGCTTTGAGGATCTTTTGTCAATTTTTGTCAACCCTGCCCATTAACTAATGCTCATTCTATCTTTAATCTTTAATCTTTAATCTGTAATCTTTAATGCAGAACTTAATTAACAAATTTGAGTAAATTAACAATGTTAATTAAATTAATTAATACTATTTCTGGTTTTTAATATAAGGGTTGATTAATTTGAGTAAGTTAAGAAAACTAGCTAAGTTAGTTATTTATAATAAATAAATATTATATTTTCAAAAATATATTTCCTAATCAAGTGTATCGATTAAAACTATTATTATTACGAGGACTAGATTGAAAAAAAATGATAAATATGATAGATGAAATAGATTGAGTTCTTATATTTATAACCAAAATAAAAATCAAACGATATCTTATATTAAGAATTGGAGGTAGTATTATATGTTTTTCCAAAAACATTTTAAGTATATTTTTTAATTCTCTCCCTCCTTTTCCTGCCTTATTATTGTTTTTTTTTAATTCTCTCTGATTATTGTTAATGAAATACCAACATGATTTGTAAAAAAAATTGATAAATATATAAAATATATTTTATATTAGAAACAAATATCAATTTCCTAATTAGGCTATATATTATAAATCGGAGGAGTAACTAATAACGTGAGCATACGACCACCCTGTGAAACAAGCTAGTGTAGAAATATGCTCCTATTTGAAGGACCGGGGGTGGTAATATTTTGTTATTTATAAATTCTAAATATAAACTTTCCTGAACGGCAATCGGCATCGCTTTTCTGTATGTATAAATTACTACATTTTGGTTGTTTTGAAAAACTAATTTCACATTTATTTTAAAATAGTCATTATACTGGTTATACATCCTAAAGATTCAATGGAATGAAAGTTGTAACTAATACATATGATTAACAATGATATTATAAAAAAGATAATACTTACGTATTGCAGACAGCTAACTTAATAAATTTTCTCAATCTATTTAAATTAATTAACTAACTTTTATATTAGGTATCAAAAATATTATATTCCTGCACCCAGCCCTGATTATGAGACATGGTTTATAATATATAAACAAAATCTTACAAATAAGACCGAAAGTAGTATTGTATTTTTAGTTTTCTTGCCTCTTATAGATTTGACTAGGTAAACACATTTCTCCGTGGAGGATCTAACTAGACATTAGCAGCTACTACTTCTAATATTTAATATAAGATTTTATTATATCTTTATTTTGGTTCTAAATATGATATCTCAATCTATTTCATCTCTCATGTTTATACATTTTGTTTCAAGATAGTCCATCTAATAATGATAGTTCTAACTAATAAATTTGATTAGTAAGAATATTTTAGAAAAAAAATACTTATTTACTAGAAATAACTAACTTAATTTATTTTCTTAATTTATTCAAATTAATCAACTAGCTCTAATATTTAGAATCGGAAGTAGTATTTATTAATACAGTGACATCAACCATATAAGATACTATTTTCGGTCTTTAATGTAAAAATTAGTTGATTCATTTGATTATATTAAGAAAACAATTAAGTTTTTTTTATAATAAATACGTGTTATTTTTTTAAAAATATCTGTACGAATCAAATGTATCAACTACAACCATTATTGTCAAATTCGCGAGTTGTCTCTCTGAGTTTAACGTTCTACATTTTCAGTTAGTAAAATCATGTCGATTCGCTCTTAAACTCGCGATAATTGTAAACTCAAACTCAGTTAAATCTATGAGTTCATTTATCGAGTTTACTGTTTTTATGTTTTTTGCTTACAAAATCATGTCAACTTGCTCTTAAATTTCTACTAAATTTTTAGATTTGATTCTGTATATGAATTTTATAGATTTTTTTTTTGTTGAGTGTGATAAATTATGAACATTGACAGATATAATTTTAATTATTTAAATTTAAAATATATTTAAATGAAATTATTCTATTTTTTATATATTAATTATTTGATTATATACGTTTAATACTAGTTTATTAATAAAAGTAAACTCTTACAAGTTTACGATATGAGTTTATGATCCGAGTTTATATCATTATCACGAGTTTGTTTAAACTCGTGAGTTTGACAACCTTGACTGCAACTATCATTAGTACAAAGACTATTTTGAAAAGAAAGATAAATATGAGAGAGAAAATAGATTAGGATCTTATATTTAGAATCAAAGTAAAAATTAAACGAGTTATTATATTAAAGACTTGAGGTAGTATTAACTAAAAACTAAAAACTGGCAACAACAAAAATACTACTTATGGTTCTTAATATAAGAATTAATTTGATTTTTAATTTAGTTATGAATATAAGATTCTAATCAATTTTATTTCTCATATTTATCTATTTTTTTAAGATGATCATTATAGTAACTGCATATGTAAAAAGTTCTATCAAATAGTAGTTTTGACTAGTATATAATTAGTAAAGGTATTTAAAAAAACAACATATAATTATTATAAATAATTAACTCAGTAAAATTTTTTTATCTATTTAAATTAGTTAATTAATTCTTATTAAAAAATAGAAGTAGTAAATAATTAATAATTAATCTCTTGTCCAAAGAAAACTATAAGTAATTAAAATTGTTTGAACTTGGCCGTGCGAAGCCCATAACACCACAGTTTATGGGCTGAGTCATTATTCGTTGGCATACAAGCCGCGGAGGAGGTGGGACAGCTGGAGGTTCGAACTTAGGCCAGCGGTGAAGCAGCAGGTCGTCCCTCTCCTCCGCGATTCCATCACGGCGACGATGGCAACTTCAGCAGCTTCGAAAGTGCCGTCGTCTTCAACATCTGCATCCGCCTCATCTTCCAAGCGATGGCTCAAGAATATTTCGTCCATAGCAGCTCGCGTCTACTTCTTCCTCATCTTTTTCCAGATCCCTCTCTTCAGGTAATTCAAATTCAAATTCAAATTTCCTTCTTGTCCTGTTTCTGGCGCTGGTAGAATCGAAATAGTTCATCATAACAATTGATGCACTCGTCTTATGATTTTAAGTCGGAAAAGGAAATTTTACTCCCACTCTTCTGAAGTCTGTCACCGTGTCTGATTCCTTTTCGTCGTCTTTCTGGGAAAATATTATTTAATTTGTGTCTATGAACTTCATGGGTTGATGGTTTTCACGTTTAAGCACTTCTGCCTTTGCTTTTCAAAACATCTCAGTGTGATTGAGATCCACAGGTGTTTCAGTTATTGAATTGCCGCGAAGAGTGAAAAACCAATGCAATCGTGTCCCAGATGTCACACTCTGATCAGTTCCATAAGTTCGTTTGCCGTTGACTTTTTCCTTAGAAGACATATATTATATAATCCTCTTTAATACATTGGTAAATATATTTCAATTTTGTCATATTCCAGACTAACGTCTTATCGCAATCTGAAACACTTTCAATTAACATAGCCGGGTCACATCGTTCGGCATTTTAGCAGTTAATTGTACTCCTTTGGTGCAAGAAATGCGAGATTGGCAACCAGCCCGTCATCATTGGTTGTCAAAGCTTGTCATGACATCGTTGTCTATCACGGCAAAGTTGATCATGTAGTATTAAATCTCATAATTTGCAACAAATCGAAGTTAGTTTAAATTTAAAGCAATGCCTTCTCTAACCATGCCCTATCGAAAGGAAACTTGATCAGTTACTTCATGTTCGTTGCGCTATTGTTTTAGATTGGTTGGATTTCAAGCTTTGTTGATCCTGAATCTTTCTTTGAAATTTATTTTAAGATACGAGTTTTATGCCAGGCACTTTCTATTGAATTTAGATATTAGTCCAACAACGAGCTTCCGCCTTTGTTGATAGATTACATTTATGACCTATGCGCTTAAAGTTGTTGATGTTCTCTAAAGTATAAAAATGAAAAGTTATTAAGATCTTCTGTTTTAGGCACTCCTGGTAGCAACTTACCTTTAAATTTTTGTTTGACGACCACTATGATAATGAGTCAATTACGTTTGTGTCTGTATATAATGTTGTTATAGGAAGAGCAACGTTGTATTTAAGATTGATGGCTGACTGCTTATAATGACTGTTATATCGCCATGTTTTTGTTTTCCACTTCAAACATGTCCTGTGTTCGCTGCGATAATAGAACATGCAATCAAACTTGTTTAGTTTCTAATTTCAGAGATCTGTATACTAGTATATCTTACTTCCTTCCCCCATTATCTATATTTTTTGTGATGTTTAGAAACTAGACATTTTAGCATCCAACGCGTCTGCAATTTATGTCCGTCTCGATCTTCTGCAGGGTTACTTGCAGATCTGGTGTTTGCACAACCCCAATGCACGTCACATCGTCGCAGTTGGTCGCAAGTGAAGTATTTCCTGTCGCTGTTACCAAGGCTCTCCTATATCCCGGAGCTGCTATAAATGGTCTTATCCAAAATAGGGCTCTTCCAAGCTGGAATAATTTATTGGACATATATAACTTGACTAGTATAAGGGAAGCTTCTGCGGTAACAGATCTCCAACGCTTAGAGGTTAGGCCACTCTATTGGTCACGTGTTATACTCTGCATTAAGTGGGCTTCTATCTATTATATTGTTATTATTGCCTCTCATACTGGTATTTAATTCCCTTTCATGGATATTTTCCAGCTGTCTTTTGACAATATTCTGTTTCATGTTGACTGATTGATGGCATGATGCCAAGTCATTGACCAGCTAAACCTAAAATATTGTTACCCTTTAAACTCATGTGAAATTTCTTAGAATTAACCGTTGATTTGTAGTCATTGTCGTTATTACAGTGAAGTGACAAATTTTCATTACTTCACAGGTTCTTGCTGGTAGCTATTTCTCTGTGGCAGGAGCACTTGTGGGCCTTTTAAAGCCGGGGAGAATGAGCATGTTCGGGACCCTTCTTATAATTTGGGGACTTGTGAAGGAAGGGATTTTAGGAAAACCGGTAACTTCTGACCCTTCTAAAGCTGCGTACATGTACCCGACAATGTTGATTGCCTTGATATGCGCCTTCTCATCAGTGAAGTATGATGTGAAAAAAGTTTTTAGATCATCCCCTGCTCGACCTACTGCTAAACCGCTTCAAAACTCATCCAAGGCTAAGCTTAAATAGGTGTTCCTCATGTTCACTAGTTTTTGTTTTTTTTGGGTTCATTTTTTTATGAGGACAGTTATATGCGTTTCTCTTATGTTTTTCCTTTGGTCAGAGTATCTCTTATGTTTGTCATGGATTATAAAGTTTATGTTTCAAAGGACTGGTCTTTTACAGTTTCACATGATTTTGGTACCTCAGCAACTTGAGTTTCTCGGAAGGAAAAATCGTTGACGGCATTTGGCTGTGATTTAAGAATGCTTGTTTATTGCTTTTATATTCTTTAACAATTAATAAAATAATCTTTCTTTACATATCATTTTTGTTATTTTAGTCAAATAATATAATTTTATTTAATAATCACTTGATAACAAATTAAATTTTTTTCCCTTTCCTGTTCATAACGAAATTCAAACTACATTTTTTGTAATATTGTGAGAGGATGTTTACCCAACTTCTTATCGGTGACTTTACCCACTTATCTATGAAATTTTATGATAAAATAAATACAAAATTAAAAAAGATATATTCGATGTCTATTAAAAAATAATCTATTTTTTTAAATTTTTTTGAACATATCAAAAATAAAAATAAACAAAGTTTAATTACGTTTCAGTTTAAATGTCGTTACATCAGTCAAATTAAAATATTTAATGGTTAAGTATAACTTTCTAAATTTATATCACGTTTCAGTCTAATTATTTAAATTTATAAAATATATTTTTAATTTTACTATAAAAATTTTTAGTTTTATTGACAAAAAGACCAACTTAACAAACTTAAATGATAACCTTGTAATTAAAAGCTAAAAAAGCATGGTTAAAATCTCATATTTTAACGTAATATTTATATATTTTAAAAGTTGAGCAGCTGATGTTGAAAGTTTAGTTTAGACACATTTTTATTATATTTTATTTTAACTATTTTGATTTATAAATTTTAAATTAAAAAATTAATATATTGAGCAACTCAAAATGCACATTATAAATTTAAAAGGCTAAATAAAATTAGCAAAGTCATCACTCAATTGTCAGCCCCGCGTGCCTTGACGCGCCACTGTGCGTCTGTGATCGAAGTGGGTCAAACTAACGTCCAGTCAAAATTGGTAAGAGTAGAGTACAATCATTCTTCCCAAGCCTCGCTTTCGCCTTCGTTCTGGCGCTCATCAGTCATATCTCCCTTGAGGCGAGTATTTATCTCCGTCGCTGCTTCATCGCTTTACTTCTTGTAATCGAAAAGCACATTAGAGCCTAAGGTATGCTTTATTAGAATTTTGTTCTTCATCTTTTCATTCTCCTGCACCGATGAAGCAATGAAAGTCCTAAATCTCGAAAATCAGATGACGTAAATAATTGTATAATAGATGTATTTCGTCGTCACAGGCGTCGTTACCAGATGTGGTCTTAAATATATACTGATATTGTGATGGGTTAACTATAATGCTCCACTTTTCCAACTTCTTCACGAGTTTCTTCAATTTTTCTTGTGTTTCTCACTGTTCTTATTTCCTTAGATGGCAATCAGGAGCCACCATGATTTTGTAAATGAATTACCGCAATGTTGGACAAGGCAGAACCGCCCATGTCTGCTGACTGCTGCATTTATAAGGTACCTTATGATATTCGCAAATTGAATGAAGATACCTTTACTCCTAAGGTTGTTTCTATTGGCCCCTTTCACTGCGGACATAAGAGGCTACAAAACATGGAAAAATACAAGTTGGTGTATGTCAAACATTTTTCTGAAAGAGCTTCCAAATCCGTAAGTTTGGATAAACTAGTCAACTTCGTGGAAGAGGTTGAGCCCTGTGTTCGTCGTTGTTACTCAGACACATTTGAGCTTAGTAGTAAGGAATTTGTGAAGGTGATTTTAATGGATTCCTGTTTCTTATTTGAACTGTTTTTAAGGTCCTATTATGATGATTGGTCACAAGATGATGCTATTCAGTTAAAGCCGTGGCTAGTTACTACTATGAGATTAGACTTGTTGTTACTTGAGAATCAGCTGCCTTTCTTTATTCTTGAAAGGCTATTCAATGTAGCTTTTCCCTCCAGCGCGACTGACCGTAGACTCCCATCATTTCTTGAACTCACTTTTGACTATTTTGCCTATTATAACAATCTGAAATTAACCCCTCAAGATGTCAGCATAAGCCACTTCACAGATTTGATTAGAACATTTCACTTACAACCATTAAGTAGACGACCAAGTAGATCTCATGAATCATTGGTACATCTTCAGAGTGCAACTGAGTTAGTTGAGGCTGGGGTAAGATTTAGGAGAAGCACAAGCCCATGCTTGATGGACATAAAATTTTCAGGGCGAGTTCTTGAAATACCACAATTGAAAGTGGAGGACTGGACTGAGACTTTGTTACACAATTTGGTAGCATTAGAGCAATGTCACTACCCTTCTAATTCTTACATTATGGACTATGTTGCTGTTATGGACTTTCTTATCAACACAAGCAAAGATGTGGATGTCTTGGTTCAGAATGGAATCATCCTTAATTGGCTTGGTGATACCAATTCTGTGGCTACTCTATTCAATAGTCTTTGGAAAAATGTTACCTACGTAAATTTCAATTCTCATTACTCAAAACTCTGTAAGGACTTGAATACTTTCTGTAAAAATCCTTGGCATAACATGAAGGCCACTTTGAGACGTGACTACTGCAACAGTCCTTGGCAAACTGCTGCTTCTATTGCTGGAATTCTGCTCCTTGTTCTCTCTTTAACCCAAACTGTTTGTTCTATCTTACAAGTGGTGCAGCAATCAAAACAAGGATCCTCATTGTGAACTCCTCCTTTCCATTTTTGGTAATTTATTTACAGTTTAAGCATTCTGTTTATGCCTTTTCTTGTGTATGTCATCATCCTTTGCACCGAGAGCGAGAGAATTCTAGTGATGATAGCATATAAACGTTGATTACAAAAAGCTACCTTCACTAAGATTAGATGAATTGAGCAACACCTAAAGACAAATATGTTGGATTTCGTCTCATAATCTTTGCAACCAGCTGGAAATATATTGGGTTTATTTTTCTTCGCACTCCTTGCATTTTTGCTCAGTTACTACTAGGCTTCCTGAACATGATGTGCCCGGTTCATTTTGTCCTCGCAAACTTAACCCTATGTCCTGTCTATCGATTTAAGGGGTGTTTGGATAGAAACCAAACCATGGTTTCAGAAGTGCTTTTACGGATTACGAAGTAAATATGTGGAGGAGGTTATCTCGTTTTGCGGAAAAGTGCTTCTGAAACCTAGGTTTTGGTTTTGCCAAACACCCCCTTAATTATTCAACGAGCATTTACCCTGTTCTTCCAAATAGGCTTTTTCCCAAAAATTAAAAATGTTACCTCGGATTCTCTTCCTGTTCATATAGCGCCCCCTTGAAAGATCAAAGATTAAAGGCTATATTTCGAACTATATTCTTGAATTTGAGCATGGTAGAATTTAGTTTGAATAACACTTATAAAAAATAGGTTCGATCTTTTAAAAACTTTTAATGTATTAATTTTTTTCCCAAAAAGTGAACCCATATATCTAATTTATTAATTATGCATAAATTTTATTAAGACGTACGTATAGCCTAAAGGGTTCAAATGTTTTATTTATTCTGATAACAAAATTATTAAACAAAATATCAATCAATGGTCTGTCAGGCGAATTGGCGACATTGTGCCACCAATAGAACCAACTCCATTTATTTAGTGGGATAATATTTATACCGTTATCGTTGATTAAAACAATGCTTTATATATTTGTGGGTAATTGTAAACATTATTCATCTCCTTTATTTATAAAGCACAGCAACAACAAAAAAAACTTTAACTACAGAACAATTAATTATTTGACAATAAGTTAATTAACAGAGGAAAAATCTCCAAAAAAAAAACAGTTGAATTTCAAAATTTTAAATTAGTATTGATTATTATACTCAACTACATTTAAAAAGTAAATAATACTTCTCCGGTTCTTAATATAGGACCCAATGTTAAGTTGGTTTTGATCCTAAATATAAGACTCATTTCTAATATTTATCAATTTTCTCTAAGTTATCCTTATGGATACTCTCTCAGTCATAATCAAGTAGAAGAGAGAGAGGGGGTATTAAGAGAGATGATTATGGTATTTTAGGAAAAACGTGTTACATTTCTTATAGTTAGCTAACTTACCTAATTTCATTAATATAATTAAATTAGTTAAATGAGTCTTATATTAAGAACCGGAAGAGTATTATATTTTTAAAGTAATTTCTGATTTAGAATTTTAAAATTCAACTATCAATTTTTTTTGAGATTTACGGTTAACGAATTATATTTTATTTATTTATTTATTTTAAATTTTCTTCTACAGTGGGTCAAGAGCCGCGGTCGCGCCAACACAGGGAAGCTAGGCGCCGTGGGGATGAGTGTAGCCGTTGTCGTTTTGCTCCCTCCCCTTGGTGCAATCAGCTCCTTGCCCATCTTTTCTGGAAAGCGAAGATTAACGGAGTTACCGGAATGGCAAAGGCCTCCCCTGGCGTTGGAAATGAGTCTTGGAGAGTCCTTGAATTTTACAGTGGGATAGGCGGCATGGTACGCTCCGAAACCCTAGTTATTTATTTAATCTATTATATGTTCATCTTCTAATTTTGTTTTCCGAACGAATGTTTGTATGTTTACTGTTTAGAGATACTCGCTGATGAAATCAGGCGCGAACGCGGAAGTTGTGGAAGCATTTGAAATTAACGACAGAGCCAATGATGTTTACCAACATAATTTTGGTCATCGTCCTTTTCAGGTTTGTTGCCTAATCTTTGAGTTCTGGAACGCGGCCCGTTTCTGGGAACTCTAGTTCACAAGTATGCTTTGCCTTTGTTTTGTGTTTCTGTTGGACCTAGTTCCTGTGTTGGGGTGTTTGGTTAGTTCATGGTTCTAAGCTTTATTTAAGCTAGGCAGTAGCTGCTAGCAGCAGCAAAGATTTTGTATATATGTATTTTTTTAATGGGAGCATGGCTTTGATCTGCTTGGCTTGTCAATGTTGTCAATCTACACGAATCTGGGCTTAAGACTGCTGGGTCATGCAGTTGACATAAAAATGACCACGTTGATAATGAATTGCTTTTCGCGCCTGATAGGGAAATATTCAAAGCCTGACTGCTACCGATCTTGATGGCTATGGGGCAGATGCATGGCTTCTTTCTCCTCCTTGCCAACCTTACACTAGACAAGGTGGAATTTCTTTTCCTTCTCATTTTAGGGATTATTTTGTTGTACATCGAAGTATTCCTCAAGCATCTTGAAATTAGGTCTCCAGAAGGACACTGGTGATGCTCGGGCATTTTCCTTTCTCCAGATTCTTGAACTTATGCCATTATTAAAGCATCCTCCAAGCATGTTATTTGTGGAAAATGTTGTTGGATTTGAGGTTTGTTCATTAGATTCAAATAATTGGCTGAATCAATTTCTGTAACCATCGCTTTCACTCATTATTTTTTCTTTCTTGTTCTTTTGTTTTTTCTTTTGCCCCCTCATTTCCCCCTTGTTTTCAGACATCTGATACGCATGCAACAATGATTGAAATATTGGAAAAAACAAATTTTATCACTCAAGAGTTCATCTTGAGCCCATTACAATTTGGAATCCCATATTCAAGGCCGCGATATTTTTGTCTGGTAGGCTCTCTTAATGCTTGGCAAATTCTTCCATCCTTATGTTTGTTTTGAAAGATTTAGGATGTCTTTTATATTATTGAGCAGTCAATTGGCAAGCGTTATAAATTTTTGGATATGATTACATATGTGTGATGTTTTCCAATTGTGCCTACTTTTTTTTTTTTTGAAGAATAGATATTTAGATCTTGACATTATCTCTGAAACATCTTTTTAGCTTCACCCAAAGGAGAAATGGAAAAAAAAGAAAAAAAATTGTTGTAGCTCATTACAATTCTCATGAGGTGGCTGATGTTGATGTTATTTATGCGTGCTTTTCCACACTATGATGTGATGGTTGAAGGTCTCGTTAATCAGTTGGAGCAGAATTAACTATTATTCCTTTTTTTTTAATTTAGGTTTCTTGTATTTGAATTTCTAGACGTTTGTCATGAATCTTTTTCATAGTCACTGGCCCTGTTCAAATAATTTTGAAGGCGAAAAGAAGACCTTCCTCTTTTGTAGAAGAACGTTGGAACAACATGCTGATTCAATCTCCCAGACCATTATTTGAGCATGAAGATTTAGTGCCTGATGAAGATGTTTCGTCACAAAAGGACTGGGATAAGTTGCTGCAATCTTGTCAGCCAATTGAACAATTTCTTGAATTAAAGAATCCTAGCAATGATACAGATGTTGAATCTGCATCACTGCACACTGATTTTCTCGGAGATCTGAAGCATGATGTACGTGAATATGATGAGGAAGTGCCCAATAAAGCATCTTTAGACCAGTATTCTGTTCCTTTGGGCTTGATAGAGCGGTGGGGAAGTGCTATGGGTATCCTTGGCCTCAGCAATAAGTCGTAGAATATGAAATTCACTCTTGTAACCTGACCATTATGCATTTTATTTCTTTTTAAAGAATTAATATTAATCAAGTCTTGACGTCCTTTTCCTTAAAGGGGTTTAGATATTGTCTATTCTGATTCAAAGCGCTGTTGCTGCTTTACAAAAAGTTATTACAGATATGTGAAGGGAACCGGATCACTTTTGGCAACTGTCCAGGTATTGCTTCCATGCTAGCCAAAATGCAAGTTTTAGTCCCTAAGTTTGCCAAAATTTTATTCTTGTCCGATTTCATTTTGTCCTCTGAGTATTAAATTTGTTCAAAACTTTTACTATTTACCAATAATGTTTACGTCTCTATTAAAAATTTTTATTTGGATATGATCATTGTAGCTAACTGAACTGATAGATGCCAGATGCTTAGCACAGACGACAGTAATTATTCTATGCTGTCAACCAAAATGGCCAGAAAAATTACAGCTCTTATGAGTAAAGTGCCAAAAACAATTTCAAAACAAACTAGATTTGATAGTAGCCATATGGTCGAGTATGAGATCTAATATCAACATAATGCTACAAGTGATTATTTCTTCTCATTCACTTTTAACTTTTTCCACCTTCCACTAGATATGGTGTTCCAGGCATTGTATGTATTTTTTTTTTTTTAATTAAAAGGCATTTACGCAGGTTGAAGGATCACTTAAACAGTGTAGCTTGTTGTAGTATTTACTATATGTATTGTTTATGTTTAATTGAGAATGATTATTTCAAAAATCAAAGGCACAGTACCCTATGCCAGGTGGAAACTCGTTTGGAAATATATACTATAGGCAGGTAAACAAATAGTCTTGTTTTTAATTCAACTGGAACAAATTTCCATACACCCCTTAAACCTTGAACGTCATCATCTACTTTCCTTTCATACTATTATTACTTTTTGTTACCGGTTCAGTGGATATCAGGATCACACTTCTTGCTTTCCACTACCGTAGCTAAAAAGTTTCTAATTTGCAGCTGGAGAAGAAGGACAAAACTTCACTGAAGGAGCTGCGCCTTAGATATTTTACCCCAAGAGAGGTGATTGAGTATATTTTTGTTACATCATTATCTAGAATTTCAAGACAGGCCTAAATTTACTTGTGTCTATTCCTACGTGTGCTCATGCGTGAATTTTTTCTTTTGGGTAAACTTAGCTTCATTTCAGTGCATAATTCTAATATGTAAGGCGTTGTAATTCTATAACAAGGTTGCAAATCTACATTCTTTTCCCGAAGATTTTCAATTTCCACAGCACATAAATCTCAGGCAGAGGTATGCCATTCTATTTGTTTCAACTCTTATTTTGCATATTCTATATGGAAGAACCGTAATATTGTTGTTATTGAGACTGCTGTACAAATGGGCATCGATTTGATCTATTGCTTGTGCTTTCATTGATGCCAATAAACTTCTTTGTTTTGCACAGGTATGCTTTGCTCGGGAACAGTTTAAGCATAGCAGTTGTTGCTCCCATACTACGGTATCTTTTCACTGATCCTTTGTGATATTCGACCACACCATCTGCTAATAAGCAGATTCGGATGTTTTGTCCCCTGCCCATCGCCTAAATTTTTGCATGGTCATAATTATATGACCAAGTCATCTTGAACATGAAGTCTTGGGTGTATTTGGTCCTCTTCCACAAGAAAATTCAATTTATAATGTAGTTCTTGCGACCGTTCGTCAGGACTCTATTATGAGTCGATCAGTTTAGTGTACTATATAGTATTTTGTGAATGCATGGTCCGATAAAGAGAAATTTACTATCAGTATTATTATCTCTGTGTTTTGAGGTGGGAGTTAGATAACTAATTTATGGATAGTAAAGAAATTAAGTTATTTATGCAAATGTGCGTTGGTTTATTTAAAATATACTTTTTAATCATGTTCATTCCAAGACTTTTTAGTGTAAATCTCCTTAATAAGTATGCACAATTTTGGCAGAAAAATAGTATGCATAATTGGCTGCGCTATCTATAGTTGTAAATGGTGCGGAATGAATTAAAACCGTTTTTTCAGGTAAAAGAAAATAAAAAAACAATAAAACCGTTTTAACTTATTTGCGTTTGGAGGAGGGAAAAATCCAGTTTTTGACTCAATAACGTGTCAGATACGGATTGTCAGAATAAATGTAGTTCCTTTGGCCCAAAAAATGAGAGAGAATCGAGGATAGTTTTCCCTCTTTCGGGCTAACAACCATTTTCTCTTTTATTCCAACAATTTCAGTTAGGGCGTGATCTTTTTCTCACATTTTCATCAATTACAACGTCAATTGTCAAATGTACAAATAAGAGAAATTTCTTTTATTTCCATCAAATCGTTCTTTTTCATCTATATGTTTTTCTTTAATTTTTTAAGATAATTTTTTCCATTAAACATGCCCGTGATAAAGTTTAGAAATAAGAATAAAATGTTGAATAAAATTAAAAGAGCAAACTATATTTCCGCCTATCCAAAAAGATAACAATTTTTTTCTCCAGTCACAGCAGTAGTTAAACATTATTATGAACCTATGATGCGAGGATTAAAGAATTTAAGATTTTTTTAATAAAAATATTTATTTTAAATTTTTTTCAAAGTCACTTTAAAAGTTTTATAATATTTTTTTAATTTTTTTAAAAATATTTAAAATCCGAAAAGAAAGTAATTTCTGATTATTCTAAATTTTATTTTATTTTTAATTAGCATTTGAAAATAATAAGATTCAGCAAATGAAAGGCAGTAATTATAAGTATTTTATTTTATAAATAAAAATATATCATAAAATTTTAAAAAATAGAAAACTAAATTATTTTTATATTAAATAAACTTGCCGTAATCATTTGAATAAATATGTTAAATGAACAGCATATACAGCGGCTTTCTTGGCAATGTAAAAGTTGACCTAATTTTCAAATCCGCAAGATGGGCCCAGCAAGGTGTGGTACAATATTTCTGCGGCCCATCGGCCCTTCTATCCCACTGATTCAGAAAAACTATAAAAGGTTTTTACTTTACTTTTTAATTACACAAACCCTAATCCTGCTGGCATTCATCCGAATCGAAATTCATCCCATTGAGCAATATTATCGTAGGAAGAAACCCTTTGATATTGCAATCAAGAGTTCCAGCGATCTGAAACTGTCAATAGTTGAGGAAGGTCGGCATCCACGTTTTGAATTTTATTTTCATGTTTATTATTCAGATCGTTTTCCGATTTTGCATTTTTATTTTATCTGTGATTAATTTGTTGATATATTAATTCTCTTGTTTGTATTTTTTTCGTTAATTAATTTTTATTTCTACCTTTTCTATATCTTCGCATATGAGTTTTTATTCTGTTTACTTTTTTATTTGATCTGTCATGGATTCTGGGAATTGTTTAGGGCTTTGTTTGTTGGCGTAAGGTTTATTACCCCTTCCCCCTTTTTAATTTTGTATGGTTGATTATAATGTATTTCTAGGGTTTTTTGTTTGTTTGTTTGATGTTTATTTATTTACGACGAACCAATGAAAAAAATTATGGAAATAGCGATTAAGTCGTTCTACTCATTTTTGTGTAAACATGATTAAGGTAATTTGTATGATTATATCATCGCAAAATTTACCAGTGGATACACTTTCAATAAGTTTGTGGGTAGTAATGAACTCATTATCACCTCCCTGGAGGAACGTGTCTTGTCGGACCATTATTTGGGACCCGAGATATGTAACTTTATTTTAGTTATTTGCTATAGCTTCTCCGGTGAAGATATTATAGATGAACATGTTAGCACCCCTGTGATGATTCAATACATGTTCCTCTTTATATATATATATTGCGTAAATTGATTACAGACAGTAAAAAAAAAGTGTTTCTAAATTATTAACTTTTTTTGTTGTTATTTTCTCATTGGCGAAGTTTATGCTTCTAAACTATTTCCTGTTATTTGTTGTTATTTTCCTCTTGGCAAATTTTCTTAATACCTTTTTGGAGCCAAACAAGCCAGCTTCAATGTCCTTGAATGTTATGCATGATTGTAAGATTAATCTTTTGCGGCTAAGAAATATTGTTGACTGTTACAGGTTTCGGTTGATTTAAAGTTGCCATTATGAGATTCAAAAAAGGAACCAGAGTAGAGGTCCTAAGTTATGGTGAGGCCCCTTATGGGGAATGGCGTTCTGCTGAGATTGTCTCTGGTAATGGGCACACTTACAGTGTCCAGTATAACGGTTCTAGCACGACTAATGAGGCCATAGTGGAGAAGGTTCCAAAGAAATCCATCAGGCCTTCTCCCCCTTCTGTAAAATGCATTGATAGTTGGTCAGCTGATGATGTTGTGGAGGTCAATCATGCTGGTTGCTGGAAGGTGGCTGTTGTTTCAGGGTTTCTTGGTGAGGACATTTATTTGGTGAGGCTGGTAGGATCTTGCAAGGAGTTAAGAGTTCACAAGTTTAACATAAGGGCACGACAATGTTGGGAAGACAACCAATGGGTTATGATGCGAAAGGTAGATTTCTTAATTAACAAGGGTATTCTCACATGGCTTTTCTCTATACTCTGCATTTATCTATTTGAATATTGCAAACTTCTAGCAGTTTTATTCTGTTTGAATTTATCTGATTCATAATGAAAGTCAGGTGTTGATTATAGTCTTTACTTTCACTGCAGAGCAATTCTAGAATTGGGAAGTCTGGGAAGAATTTGAGCTTTAACAGTTATAAGATGAAACCTGAAGTTCCGCAGGCTAGAAATGATTGTTTTCCCATTGTGGATGGAAGTGGGCTACGGGAGTCTCATTTAGTGTCATCCACATCATTGAAGAGAGTGTCTCCTTATTGCTCCTCCCTCATTGATGCATGCCCAAGAAAAATGAGAGCTGTTTTGAATGAGGAAGTGCTTGAAAAGGTAGATGCTGTTGCTTACCCAAGTGAACATATGGGTGAAAAATGCGTGCTTGCTTCCTTTAATAATGGCACAAATCAATATAATAGAGTGGCAATGGTGAACCCTAATAATGGTAACACACATTGTCTTGAAAGAATCAATGATTCTAGTGATTCTTGTAGTGATATGTGTTCAGTTGGCAGTTGTAGTGTGATAAGTAGTGGCCCAAACAGATTCTCTAGTGATATGTTAGCAGGTGTTTGCCAAGATGCGGATAGTCTTTGTAGCGATGCAGAGTCTTTAGATGTTGGAGGTGAGGAAGAAAGATGTTCCCTTTATCCAAAAGAGGATATAGCAGCCAGAATTCATAGGTTAGAGTTGCATGCTTATTGCAGTACTCTAAAAGCTATGTATGCTTCTGGTCCCCTAACTTGGGAACAAGAAGCACTATTGACTAATCTTCGTATTTCACTCCATATTTCAAATGATGAACACTTGTTGGAGATAAGGAACTTAGTTTCTTCTGGTCAGCGTTTTTAATAGTTTACACAAGCAATGTTAGCACAGAATATTTTATATTATGTTCTGATCTATGTACAGCCTTGTAAGGTTCAAATAAGAAGACTATGTCTTTGGTATTCATCTTGTAATTGTTACTAGAATTATTGTGAATTATTGCAAGCTGTGAAGTTCCCTACCTTTTTTGTTTGTTTGACAGGCTATTTGAGATTTAAGTGATACTTTTCATTTAAATTATAACAGTTGTGAACTGCTACATCTGCAATGATTTGCTGCAGCTACGAGGGATTCATCTAATTGCTTCTTTGGTAGCTGTTTGATGCTATGACAATAATTTTATCACAGCACTAAAAAGTTTTTCTTTGCTATGAGAATGCTCACTGCTTGAGTTGGGCTGTGGCACTGTAAACACATCAAATGTGAAACTTCAATTATGATGTCTTTATGCCAGCTTTTGTGCTTAATCCTTGTTGGTTTCTTTCTGATTTTGTACATCATTCTGTGATAGTTAAACTCTGTATAACCAGTCAATAATCAAGGACTGGCGACTAGTCTATGTTGTGCAACTCAAAATATGGCATCTTACATAATATGGGTAAACTTGATTTTGATAGCACCAGAAGTTTTACTTTTAACTATTGATGAATCGACTACATTTTCCAGGGCCAGTGTTGGAGGCCTGCATGGCTTGCTTCCAAAGGCTAAACATGATGCTAGGTTTGCCACTTTTCTCCTGGCAAATTAGTTGATGACATCTATTACATATTTTGTTACGAATGACAAATGTCTGACCAGTGCATACTATCCTGGCTTTTGTTTGAAATATATAGTCTATTTCAGGTTTGGTTAGAAAGGACACTTGCTGTGTCAAAATCAGAACATGAACTTCCTAACAGCTGCTGTGATATAACCGTGACATGGAAGTCTAGTTCTCGCTTGTCAGGTGGATTATGTTCCTGGAATGGCATACTCTATCCTGATAAATGAAAAGCCTTGATGTTGGGTTTTTTATATTTGATGGTAATACTAATGTCTTAGGTTAGGATCTGCTTTGCATTAGTATTGCTGTCTTAAATTCAGAATGTCAAATTTTGATTTGTTTTCCAGTTGTGTGAAAAATTTTGTAAGGCTTAGTCTTTGAAGCTATTATCCTGACATGTTGGAAATTGATCAATGTAGATCACATTCCAGCATTGTTTTGCGAGAATTTTTTTTTTTTGGGTGAAAATCGGTCAAGTGAAGGAATGTTAATACCTAATGTGAAAAGCGGGTAAGTTTAGCAGAAGTTCCTGCTTAAAGATCCATTATCTGCAATTATGTAAGCAGATATGGGGTAATGATAATGATATACTCCTTAATATAAGACCTACAAGGTAGGTCTTACTGGAGGAGTATATACTTATTATGTACCCTTTCCGAATAGTCTGCCACACATGGATTTGAAGATTCGGCAATACCGATCATGGCTTTGGTAACGCGGCAAAGAATCCATCAAGAGGAATCTTCTCTCTTGCGTGGCATGAAGCCACCCATTCAGTTTTGGCATTTATCAAAATGATTTGAACAGGTGGCTTCCTTGGATTACCATCTTCTGCATCTAACGGCTGAGGAGTCAGGACCAAGTAATGTAATTGTTGTTTTCTAACTGCTATCGTGAAAGTATAGTGATGGGCATGCATCTTTTATCAGTTTTCATTCTAATTCATATTCTGCTTTTACGTTTTATTTTATTGAATATGTTTTATCCGTGTGTATAATTTTAACATTTTTTGAACTAAAGTGTGTATATTATAGTACCTCCTGCCTTTAATATAAGACCTTGTTTGACTTTTATTCTGGTCTTAAATATAAAACTCCAATTCACTGTCTTTCATATTTACTCAATCCTTCTAATAATTATAGTTTTAGTTAATACATTTGATTAGCAAGGATATTTTAAGAAAGATGACACCTATTTAGAACAAATAATTAACTCAATTTACTTTTTTAATCTCTTAAAATTAGTCAACTAGCTCTTATAATTAGGATCGGAGGTAATATGTTTCAAGATAAAATAGAAATTGGGCCAACTCTTCCAGAATTGAAGAGGAGAAATTAAACCTTTCAGGTTTTAGCATTATCGTAAACATGGAAACTGATCCGTGAACTTGATATTTTATGTGCTAAAACTGATCCTTGAAGGAGTTGGTTGGGTGATGACGGGTACAGCTGCGGACAAATTTTGATGATGATGAAGAATGGATTCAGGTGAGTTGCATTCAGGACAGCCAGCGCTGGAGAACGATTCAAGAAATGTAATGTGTCGCATTTCTAAATTCATGGAAGAGCAATCAGACTTCAGAGCCATCTGCTGATGTAATTTACCAGGCTTTTTCCCTCTAATACAATTTGACTATAATAAAAATTCAGTTCCTAAGGTATAACTTAATAAAAAGTGATTTATTGCATGATTGAACGGTTTTATGATGTACTAGAGATGTGTCTGTTTATTTTATGTATTATTTTTTTTTTAAGAAAAACATTACAAATGGCATTTTTTCAAAACCGAAAAAAAGAGAGTCAAGGTTACACAGATAAAACGTTGAGACAACAACACGCACAGTCCTAGAACACTGTACCAGACCAACATGTAAACTTCGAGAACATGATGCAATCTATAATCCAAGGACATTACAAATGGCATTGCAGAGATGTATTACAACCAAAATAACCTTGGGCTCTAGTGACACTGCTTAGCCTCACCCATGGCAAACTGAAGTCTACTAGCGCCTCTTGAAAAAACAAAAACCTGTATAAGAGAATATTTAATTATATGGAATTCTTTTCTTATATTTATTTTAGATACCGTAAAATTATTTTTAAAATTATAATTTAATTTCAATTTAAACGTCACCTAAGAAAGCCTGTCCTTGCAAAACCACAATTTCCCTGGAATCACATGCCCCCATCGGTGATTTCTTTCTCATCTTTCATATGATAGTTTTCCATTCTTTTTTCTTGAAAACCCGTACCTTTCACTTGAGCTTCGTACCATATCGTTTACGACACGCTGAGACGAAAAAGAGTGCACGGGCGGGCAGCCATACGGATATGAAGCAGTATCTGCATGTAGACCACGAGACAGAATAAATTTATACCACGCAGTTTCGCCAGCCACTGATCACTAACAAATTCCATTCGAAACAAATATTCGATCCTTGATTGTATCAAATATACAGTCATCTGATCGAGAGCATATTCGATCCTTTATCGATCCCTCCCTGCACGTGTTCCCCACAACAGAACAAGTTCAGGCGATCGCGAGGTCCAGCTACTAAACGGCCATTGACATCCAATTGCTAGGAGGGGAATATAATATGCAATAAATTTCACATACTCAAATTTCAAATTATCATTGGTACAAACCCAAAAAGGCATATATCTTTGAATACACAAATAGCAGAATGTACGGAGAAAGTTCCACAGACGCTAAGTCTTGAAAATCTGCTCTGCAGTATTGAATGTAATTTTACTCGAATGCATCGTCATCGTCGTCAGGAAGGGGCTGAATAGCAGCTTGAGCAAGCTCTGCCTCATGCCTGCAAGGCCACCAATGCAGAAATTCAGGAAACAACCAAGAACAGAGCATTATAAGGAGGAGAACAAAAGGAGTTCAATAAACGCAATGACATTAGTTGAGAATTTTGTGAATTAATTTTTTTAGCCCCATATATAAATCTATCTACTGTAGTTCTGCGTGACGCACCAGGGACCAGATATTTCTTTAGAATAACTGCCACTTTAGCATTAAATTGTGGGAACAAAGTCATAGAATAACTTAAAATTTTCAAAATCCTTAGATTTGCACCAGAAGTCGAGAACTTACTGTTGTTGTGCAGCTAGATCAATCTGAACTTCAGGGGGAGCCAAGGCAGGAGATTCTACAAAGTGCAAGTTGGGATCACTGCATAAATGACGCAACAAGCAATATTTAAGTTACATACATTCTGGACAAAATAAACGGAATTTAATGTCTGTAATTGAAGACAGTGGTAACTAACCCAGCTAGTTTCCTAGCAAGGTACAGGAAAGGCTTCTCAAAATTGTAGTTACTCTTTGCTGAAATCTCATAGTACTGCAAATTCTTCTTCCTGTGGAAAGTAACTTGCTTTGCCTTCACCTGCCTGTTCTTTACATCAACCTTGTTACCACAAAGAACGATTGGGATGTTTTCACAGACCCTGAAATTGCAAGCGCAGACCATCCATAAGCTATCACTGATGCAGGTTATTACTGCTGAAAGCTAAAAAGTTTATGGGTTTCAATTACCGACCGGCAAAGATCACGATGCCAAGTTGGGACATTTTTGTATGTCAGCCGTGCAGTCACATCAAACATGATAATCGCACATTGCCCATGGATACTGCATTAAGGCACATCACGTTGAAAAGTGATAAACGGGACAGAGCAAATATAAAATAAAGTGTAAAATGCATTTTTCTTATCATGTCATTTCACAATTAGAACCTGCAAATGAAAAATTGTCGTGCTAGAAATACTAGAAATAGAACTCTCATTCAAGTGAAAACACCAAGCAGATGGAACATAATCAGGGACGTAGTGCACATTTGTGGGAGGCAAACAGAACTCAATTTATGTATCATTATAGAGAAATTCATATGTTCACTATGAAATCCTACTAGACATGAGAATTCATATCGCCCCAGCACACGAAGCAAACACATCAAACGAAGAAGAGTTTCCAAACAAAACTGAAATAAGCTTTATGGATAAACTCACTAATATCCATCTCTGAGGCCACCAAATTTCTCTTGTCCAGCAGTATCCCAGCAGTAGAATCGAATCTTCCCACAGTTTGTGAAAAAATCCAAGGGATGGACTTCAACCCCAATGGTAGCTGTGACCAGAAAACAAAAATGAGACAAAATCAAGATTGACGAGAACCATGAGCGGCCGTAGTTAACATGTGCAATTATAAATCTTACGTTCATATTTCTTCTCAAATTCTCCAGTTAGATGCCTCTTCACGAATGTCGTCTTGCCTGCATTATTCAAAACAAAATTCAATTAAAACAATAGCTAATCGCCTCGTGAAAGACTAGGAGTTTTAAACCAATTGTAAATGCATTCATCAATCCCCAACCTAGAGACGCATACAAGTGTCACAGAGATACGAAGGCACACAGAGTAGTAGACTTCTTAGCAAATTGATCATTACGCGTAGGTTTACAAAAACAAAAAATACTTCTACGTTGAAAGATATTCATCCGAACCCTAACCGCCAAAGAGTTGTGCCACGAAAAATTTTGAAGCTCAACGCGTACGCCAGATGACAGCATGAAGATGTATGGATGCCATCTTTTACGGGAATTGATTCACAACATGAGTACGCAAAGAAGCCCTAATAAACCACACAGACGCATTTAAGACAGATGAAATGCACAGATATCAAACGCACCAGTTCCACCATCACCAACGATTACGAGCTTGAAGCTGGGATAATCAACGGTTTGCTGATTCGGCAAAGCCTGCATCAAGGTAGCAGAAGACCAAAATAAACTTCGTTAAGTAACGACTGCTGATTCGATTGCCCTACCGGATTTGTTGCGCAGGAATGGAGGCAAAATCATAACAGTAACGAAAAAGAACGCAGAGAGATTTTGGGATAAAAAAAAGAGAAAAGGGAGAGACACGTACCATGGTAGAAGAATGCAGCGAAGGGCGCAGAGACGGGAGAATGTTTGAACTTGGAAGAGTGTGGAACTCTGCGTGGGTTTATAAGGAAGGGTTTCAAGTTTGGGAGAGCCCTAGTCAAGCGTCAAGCTGACGCAGCAATCTCCACCGTTCGATTAAATCTCCAGCGTGAATTTGAGTTGTACACTTTGAAGCGTGGAAATGGGCTGGCCGCTCACCCCATTCGCCCACGTAGTAATGGTAATTTTTATGATTAACTAATGGTAAAAGTTTTGCATTAGAGTAATTGTATATCTTTGGGAAATAAGTAAATTGCAATCACTTGGCTCCAAAGTAAACTTTTTACAAAGCCGAGAGTCCGATTTTTCTCGCAAGCAACTTATTGAATAAAATTTAAGCAAGTTTTACTTCCTTAGTTTTTATTATATAGTATATTCAAACTTAATAATAATGAACGGTATTTTTTTAAAAACATAAAAAAGCAAAATTAAAGCATTTTATCACTGCAGGATGCTGAATTTTTTCCTTTTTGTTTTTTCAGGGCCAGATTTCTTGTTTTATTTGCAAACTAACAATTAAAAGAAAGATCGTAAAACGAAATGAAGAAAGTGGACAGTAATCAAAACAGTATTTATTATATATATATATATATAGAATAATTTTTCAAAGATCTCAAACCCTTCAAAACAGTATCTTATACTCATTGATTGGGTTTATTTCTTCCTGATTCATGTACTTCTGTTATACATTCTTCAAAAAAAAAATGCTTATTCTTAAATTGAGAGGCTTGTTTTTCTCTCTGATTTATAGCTAAAAAAAAAAACTACTAGAACATTATGATTAAACAGTACCAATTTAATTTGTTGTTTGATTTATTAGGCCGAATCACATCGCCACATTTGGTTTAAATCACATCATTCCATGCAGGCTCCTCTAAACATCATTAGATATACGGTATACTCTCTTACTCTCAATATAAAAAATCACCAAAATCACACAAACCACCATTCTTTTTTTGAAACAAAACATAATTATACGCCGCTGGTACGCGTAATTAACCAAAAGCTAACTAGCTCGTGACCAATATGATAGCTGGGTGGATCCAATATTTCTTATGGTTTACGTACACTCAACAGCTTAACATCATCAATGACTGGCCCACACAAAGAAGAATAGTCGTCGCTTCTCATAGTGTAGAATGTGCTGAGGAACATGATGCGAGTTCTAGGGCTAACTGCCACAAATTTAAGGGCTGCCCGCTTGAACCCTCCCTCCCCTTTCGACTCATACGGCACTTTTATGGTGTCTTTGCCTGCAAATGCTTCTACTATCAGAGAGCCTTTACAGGAATTGTTTGCGTCCCCCACTGCAAATGAAAGCACGTAGGTTGTGGCAGGGATGGTTCTGACCACTTGGGCGATGGCGCTTTCTTTTCCGGCCACAAGCTCCACCGCTCTTCTTCCCTGAGGAACCGAGAAGTGATCGGAGTCTATGTATTTCACGGCTTTCAGTGACTCCACCATCCATCCCGGCAACGGCGAATGGTCATCTTCTATGTTTGGGGGGATGAGCACACCCCAGGATGTGTTGGGAAAAACATAGGGCCCTTCTTCAAACCCACCATTCTTCAGTATGTTCTCTGCAAAATATTAACGTAACATCTCAAGTCAACTTCTTCACTCTCGTTAGTCAATAAACAGGCGAAGAATAGCCAACCACACAACTGGCTTGGGTACTTTTGTTTGCTTCTTTAAATGCTTGGTCTCTTAACTACAAGTCCATATCATAACATTTTCTTGGCAGATTCTGCTTTTGAAGGGAAAGTGAAATTCAAACTTTCATCGAGCAGTTAATGCTCAACAGTAAAGAGTGACATACCTACACAATTAAACTAGAATCAGATAGCTATTACGAGACCAGACATAATTTAAAGCCACTCTGATTGTATCAGTAATCCTTACAGAACGCAGTATGCATTATTACGTTTCATAAGTATCATTGAACAGCTTATGTACTTAGTTCTGTGGGGCCATTAAAGCCCATTTGGACCACAAAACAAAGGCAACCAATAAAACATAGCAGTATTCAAATTCATGCACCGTGAAGAAAGAGAAAGGGGATTGAAATTTGAGAGAAGAAAGCTCACTGTTAGTAGGTCTTGGAGGATACATGGCTTTGACAGCAATTGAATCAATAAGTGGGCCACAAGCTGGGTCCTCCTCAATTCCTGGGTTGTGAATAAACATGTCGACCTCTGGGTATTGGGCCTTGAAGGCCCAAGCGTAGGCGTCCCAGCCATTACTGCTGTACAGAGTTTGCATTGGAAGCACGCCAGAATGAGGAGAAACAGAGACGTTCAGTTGTTCCTCTTGGGCACATGTACGGGCAGCTACGAAGGAAATGGAATAGTACATTCCTCTTACTACCTTTAACTTTTGCTTAATGGACGCCTCATTGCCCAGCCTCACTGCATAGGCTCCCTCTGGGACCACCAGCAACATATCACCCTGTTTCTGTCCTGATTTTATGTACTCCACCAAGCCTGATATCTCCCACTCTGGTATGGCCCGGCTGCCGCCGGTCACCACCGTGCCGTTCATGTCCGATGCTTTTGGACCCAGCTCGAAATTCCCATTTGCCACTAATCCTGCATCATTGTAGAGAAACATCCAGTGGGTATTTTATCATCGTTTCAAGTTTTAAAATCCTGAAAACGAAGGGTAAGCGCAGTTCCAAGCGATATTCGGCAAAAGCATATAAAGATCGATAGAGAAATAAAGTGTTTAGAATTGAAATGCCAAGGGTTACCGTCGGAAAGGGAGGAGGAGGCATGGAAGGAGGAGAACAGAAGAAGCGACAGAAAGATAAGGCATGCCATGTTGGGGGGACGCTGTGGGAGAAATGGTTTATTAGAAAAGAAGCATATTGCTTTGGGTAGTGCAGAGCCGAGCATGGGCTTATATGCATGCCCCCTCGCCAGAAAGCCCTCGCTTTTTATGTGAAATTGCAATTATGCCATTTATCTTGTGCAATAAAGTATAATTACAATATGTTCACTCCTGTTTAAAACATTAGCTACTCTCAACTATCTCAATGGAACTAAGAAACTAAGAATGAGCATTTAATCCATTAAATCTGCCTTAAATTTTTTTTTTTTTAAAATCAGGACTGTCCCTATTCAAATATATCTTGCATCTCTCCTCTTTTCCAATGCTCAATGCGTGCCACCCAAGAAAAAAAAAAAAGGGACCAGACCAGCCAGTTCAACCGAAAACTGATGAACCGGTCTAAAATCCGATCTGGTTTAAGTAGAAAACCGGTCACCTATTGAACCGGAAAGTAACTGGTCAAGCCGGAATTAAACCAGTCAACCGTCCGGTTTGGGGGTTAACCGGTTTAATATTTTTCCCCTCCCCAAGTCCAAAATGACGTCGTCTAATGCTTAAAAGGGAAAAAAAAAATCGAACAACAGCATTGGAGCAATTCCCTCGGTCCCTCCCTCCCTCACTCCCTCCCGACCAAACCCCAGACCAGAATGGGGAAATAAGAAGAAAGTCTATCTGAAAAATGAAGAAAGAGGGAGAGAAAGAAGAGAAGGAAAATAGAGGGAGAGATAAAAAATAACTTACTGGAATAGAAAATTCCTGAAAAATTATGATGAAAAATGAAGTGAAAAACTTATTTTAAAAGGTAGAGAGCATGGAAGAGGGAAGAGAACATGCTTCAAGAGGTGAGCACTTGAGTTTTGTTGTGGGGGATGAAGATCGGAAAATTGAGAGAGGAAGGAGCTCCGACAAGGCCACAGTCCCAGGATTTGAAATGAAAATGAGAAGGCGGAAAGGCATTAATGATAGAAGGGAAGGCCACTATGAGTACTCTATTTCCTGTCGTAGGCATTAATTAGCGCCAATTTAGAGGGCCATTCAGGTAACGTGTTGCAGGCACTATGGGTACTTGTATCTTCCTTTTTCATTTTTCAAAGCCTAGTCATCCGCTCCCTATGTTCACTTAATGGGATACTTCTGAATATTATTTTTATTAAAATATTTTTATAATAAAAATGAATATTTTTGAAATTTTATTTAAATTATATTTTTTAAATAATTACCGGTCTGATTCCTGTTCAACCTCGACCTGACCCATTAACCCTTAACCCACTATCTTAACCGGTTTAGTGTCCGGTCCAGTTTTTTGTTCTTTGATGTCACCAACAAAAGGGATAAAATTGAAAATGAAATTTAATAACTCTTTTTTTTTTTGTGAAAAAATTTAATAACTCTTTACATGTCTTATTTTATAGATAAAAAAATTCCTCCTAGAAAACACCGTATGTTTTAAACCAGAGGAAGTGAAATCACTTCATGATTAATTTCCCATTATTAAATGAATCTGGTCTCTCTTGTTGTTGTAACTAGTGAGTTTAATCAAAACTAAATAGCTTAAAAAACTTTATGGAGTGCTTGGTAATATGAAAAAATACTTTTTGAAAAGCGTTTTTTCTGGAAAATGAGATAGACTACTCCACATATTTACTTTATATATGTAAAAATATTTTTAAAAGTATGGTTTGGTTTTTATCTAAACATCCTTTTAATCTTACATGATCATCTTTATCATCCTTACCTTTGTTTCCCCTTAAAGGGTATTTCTGTCATTTCAGGTAGAGATGATTTTAGTATATCTTTTCCCTTTTTCTGGTCCCTTTTCCTGCCTGGCTGCCTGCCCTGTCCCCTCCGCCATTACGTGTGCATAATTTAAAGGGTGTTTCTGTCATTTCAAGTAGTAATGATTTCGATCTCCTCTCCAAGCGGTAGCCACGCATGACCAAGTTTTGGTTGTATTCGACGTACAAATAATGTAAGTATATCATAAAGATGGGAGAAATTAATATTATATAAACTTATGACATGTATATATGTATGGGCTAATATAATATTTCATCTTTTAAATTTGTCTTCATTTGGGTTTTAACTCCTCACATTTTAAACTATAAATTTTGGTCTCTTAAAAAATAAAAATAATATAGGTTTTAAATGAAAACAAATTTGAAGGGCTAAAATCAAAATGAATGCAAGCTTTAGAGATAAAAATTGTATTAGCCCTATGTATATATAAGATGTTCATCTAATAAGTTTTTACATATTTTATGTAGTTTTCTTTCTTTAAAATTCACAACAAATTATTATACATAATTTTAGAGGGTGGACTCCGGATCATTATAGGCAGAATGTAGACCACAATGACACATGCGAACTTCATGCAAATTAATTTAATGCAAGTTTGGACAGTTCAATGTTGTTTGTAAAATGCCTTTTTTTTTTGATGAGTAAAATGCCTTGAAAGCGATAAAAGGAAGTTTTAATTGTTCTTAATTTTTAATTTATAACATAGGAAAAAGGTTATCCTTACCCAGAAATATCATTCAGGATATTTTTTTTTTTGGGTTTAATTTGGGTGGTTAGAAAATGAAACAAACAAGTGATGCTGGTTAATAGGGCAGTTATGATATGAGTGATTGATCTCAACATGTACGATGCAAGAAGCTAAGGGACATAACATGTGCAGTACATCATCTAATGTTGGACAGCTTAAAGTACTGAATCTTATCCTGAATCATACAAATCAGGAAGGAACTGGATCTGTTCATATCAAATGTTAAAAATGACTAAAACACTTCACCAAGCCTAGTTTCCACTTGTAGCTAATTTTCAAGCATAAACTTTAACACGAGATTAAATGGGTATTCGATATCTCCACAAAAAATTACTCTTACACTTTACAAAACAAAATTTTTCTCACGTATTTTGTTCATATTACTCAAAATAAGCTAAACCAAAAGTTGAGTTGCAAATATAATCAAATCAACACTGTAAGCGAACTTTGGAATTTTCGGGGCAAGAGAAAAAGCATAGGCGCAAACAAAGTCAGCCGATATTGAACTGCCGACAATCACTTGTTGGAAACAGAATATTTCTTCTCAATTGGTCCTTGAAATGTCCTGCGTGTACATATTCACTGTAATTTCGAAGTGGAGATAAAAACCAGAGATTTTGCTTTTACTTTTTTTTTTTATTAATATACGATGGATTGAGATATGCTAGGGGTTGTTGAGCAGACTTGGTGACAATTTATTGTGATGGAATGAACACATGTGACTTAAACAAACATGAACTTGGAAAATTGAATACGATGAGGCGGGAAATAGTAATATATTTATTCAGTTAATATGTCCATATGACTGAACAGACATGTATAGTAAAAACTGAAGAAGTCAGGGAGGGTGGGGGTCGCGCAACCACGTGCTATTGCAATTTGGGTAAAGTTAACAGTGTGATTTGACGGACAACGCTATGTTAGATGCCCCCCTGAGGTTCATTCATCGTTTCATATGAACTCATATGCTTGTGTCTGAGAAGGGGGGCCAATCCCATGAATCTCTCCCCAAACCCAGTTCAGTTCAGTGCTTTTCATTTTTGGTTGAATAATGGTGCTTTAAGCGCACACCGACACGAATTAAATGTGCTTTCCTCTCTCAATGATTGAAAAATAGGTATTCTACGGGGTCAAAAAAGTAATTGCAGTGACACAGTGAAAGAGACAAGGAGGGGGGAGGAAGAAGAGGCATGTGGGTGATTGAGATGCAGTTATGGAGGATTATGAGAAATGGTGGAAGCTCATGGGATGAATTGAACATCATCGACACCAGTCACACTACGGTACTTGTTCATCCATTTCACTCCCTCGCTCGTCCCCGATTCTTATCCCATTCTCTAATTTTTGTCCAATAATGATTCATGTTTATTGACCAAACTCCTTTTACTCAGTAACAAGAGCAGTTTTCAGTTTCATTCTCCTTGTCTTTTACACTTTGCAGGTTAGACGAGACCAACGACCATACGTCCACACTTTAAAGTTCATTTTCCTTCGAAAAATTAAGATACATGGGTGAACTGCTCCACAAGATAAGCATGTATAAGATCCAACAAAATCAATTGAATCCAACTGAACCATTTTTTTTCCCAATAAGGAATAAAACAATTAGAAGAGTTTGAAAAGACTGCTTTTAGAATTATTAGACACGCGTCAATGTTATATCCAGCATTTCATGTCGTGAGGCAGCCAATGCATGAATGATATGCTGGTACTTCACTAGTCTTTCACTGCAACGAAAATCACAAGAGGTAAATGCCGCACGTCAGTGCAGTTATTAAGTTTTACCGGGAACCATCTGACATATACCAACATAATGGTTGATTTCCAGATTGTATGCATAGCTCAACTCGGACTAAAACATTACTGCGGAAAGAATATCTTGGGACATAAATTTCCGCCAAACATGGGAGTGACTTATGAAAGGTTTTAGATATATTTATTAGATAGAGCTTGAGGACGACTGTCCAGACTTTTCAAAAATGCGGTTCATGAACTCGGAAAAGCCAAAGAGGTTGTCCATCTTTCTTTCCCAATGAAAAACAGAATAAAAAGAAACTACCAAACAGCAATACAATTCAAACAAGATCCTGCTCCAATCGAAGCAGTTTCAAGCAACATATGATGCTCTCAAGGAATGGTTCTTTGGTAAAGAGGCAAGGCTCCCAATTCCTCACGCTCTGCTCTCTCCTTCTTCACCTGCAAAACGTGGGTGGCAAAGCATTTTAGGGGCACTTACTAAAATAATTGGACAATTAATACTTCTTCATGTACATGCAACTCTGCACAATACTGATATCAAGTGGCTCATAAAGCAAAGGTCTTGAGACACCTTTCCCACCAAAAAAAAAAAAAAAAAGAGCACGAAATCGGCCAATTCAACACATAAATATTCTTTTGTTGATCATTATCCTTAGAACAATTACATGTATACATGGAGCTTTGGGCGCAGCCCAGACTCGAAAATCACTCCAGGGAAAATTATTCTGC